CCATCCTTAGATTATCATGTCTAACCATCTGTAGATTATCATGTCCAACCATCCTTAGATTATCTTGTCCAACCATCCTTAGATTATCTTGTCCAACCATCCTTAGATTATCATGTCCAACCATCCTTAGATTATCATGTCCAACCATCCTTAGATTATTTTGTCTAACCATCCTTAGCTTATCATGTCTAACCATCCTTAGATTATCATGTCCAACCACCCTTAGATTATCATGTCCAACCATCCTTAGATTATCATGTCCAACCACCCTTAGATTATCATGTTTAACCACCCTTAGATTATCATGTCCAACCATCCTTAGATTATCATGTCCAACCACCCTTAGATTATCATGTCCAACCACCCTTAGATTATCATGTCCAACCATCCTTAGATTATCTTGTCCAACCATCTGTAGATTATCATGTCCAACCATCCTTAGATTATCATGTCCAACTACCCTTAGATTATCATGTCCAACCACCCTTAGATTATCATGTCCAACCATCCTTAGATTATCATGTCCAACCACCCTTAGATTATCATGTCCAACCATCCTTAGATTATCATGTCCAACCATCCTTAGATTATCATGTCTAACCATCCTTAGATTATCATGTCCAACCATCCTTAGCTTATCATGTCTAACCATCTGTAGATTATCATGTCCAACCATCCTTAGCTTATCATGTCTAACCATCTGTAGATTATCATGTCCAACCATCCTTAGATTGTCATGTCCAACCACCCTTAGATTATCATGTCCAACCATCCTTAGATTATCATGTCCAACCATCCTTAGATTGTCATGTCCAACCATCCTTAGATTGTCATGTCCAACCACCCTTAGATTATCATGTCCAACCATCCTTAGATTATCATGTCCAACCACCCTTAGATTATCATGTCCAACCACCCTTAGATTATCATGTCCAACCATCCTTAGATTATCATGTCCAACCACCCTTAGATTATCATGTCCAACCATCCTTAGATTATCTTGTCCAACCATCTGTAGATTATCATGTCCAACCATCCTTAGATTATCATGTCCAACCACCCTTAGATTATCATGTCCAACCACCCTTAGATTATCATGTCCAACCATCCTTAGATTATCATGTCCAACCATCCTTAGATTATTTTGTCTAACCATCCTTAGCTTATCATGTCTAACCATCCTTAGATTATCATGTCCAACCATCCTTAGATTATCATGTCCAACCATCCTTAGATTATCATGTCCAACCATCCTTAGATTATCATGTCCAACCATCCTTAGATTATCATGTCTAACCATCTGTAGATTATCATGTCCAACCATCCTTAGATTATCTTGTCCAACCATCCTTAGATTATCTTGTCCAACCATCCTTAGATTATCATGTCCAACCATCCTTAGATTATCATGTCCAACCATCCTTAGATTATTTTGTCTAACCATCCTTAGCTTATCATGTCTAACCATCCTTAGATTATCATGTCCAACCATCCTTAGATTATCATGTCCAACCATCCTTAGATTATCATGTCCAACCATCCTTAGATTATCATGTCCAACCATCCTTAGATTATCATGTCTAACCATCCTTAGATTATCATGTCCAACCATCCTTAGCTTATCATGTCTAACCATCTGTAGATTATCATGTCCAACCATCCTTAGATTATCATGTCCAACCATCCTTAGATTATCATGTCCAACCATCCTTAGATTGTCATGTCCAACCACCCTTAGATTATCATGTCCAACCATCCTTAGATTATCATGTCCAACCATCCTTAGATTGTCATGTCCAACCACCCAAGATTATCATGTCCAACCATCCTTAGATTGTCATGTCCAACCACCCTTAGATTATCATGTCCAACCATCCTTAGATTATCATGTCCAACCACCCTTAGATTATCATGTCCAACCACCCTTAGATTATCATGTCCAACCATCCTTAGATTATCATGTCCAACCACCCTTAGATTATCATGTCCAACCACCCTTAGATTATCATGTCCAACCATCCTTAGATTATCTTGTCCAACCATCTGTAGATTATCATGTCCAACCATCCTTAGATTATCATGTCCAACTACCCTTAGATTATCATGTCCAACCACCCTTAGATTATCATGTCCAACCATCCTTAGATTATCATGTCCAACCACCCTTAGATTATCATGTCCAACCATCCTTAGATTATCATGTCCAACCATCCTTAGATTATCATGTCTAACCATCCTTAGATTATCATGTCCAACCATCCTTAGCTTATCATGTCTAACCATCTGTAGATTATCATGTCCAACCATCCTTAGCTTATCATGTCTAACCATCTGTAGATTATCATGTCCAACCATCCTTAGATTGTCATGTCCAACCACCCTTAGATTATCATGTCCAACCATCCTTAGATTATCATGTCCAACCATCCTTAGATTGTCATGTCCAACCATCCTTAGATTGTCATGTCCAACCACCCTTAGATTATCATGTCCAACCATCCTTAGATTATCATGTCCAACCACCCTTAGATTATCATGTCCAACCACCCTTAGATTATCATGTCCAACCATCCTTAGATTATCATGTCCAACCACCCTTAGATTATCATGTCCAACCACCCTTAGATTATCTTGTCCAACCATCTGTAGATTATCATGTCCAACCATCCTTAGATTATCATGTCCAACCACCCTTAGATTATCATGTCCAACCACCCTTAGATTATCATGTCCAACCATCCTTAGATTATCTTGTCCAACCACCCTTAGATTATCATGTCCAACCACCCTTAGATTATCATGTCCAACCATCCTTAGATTATCTTGTCCAACCATCCTTAGATTATCTTGTCCAACCATCTGTAGATTATCATGTCCAACCATCCTTAGATTGTCATGTCCAACCACCCTTAGATTATCATGTCCAACCATCCTTAGATTATCATGTCCAACCACCCTTAGATTATCATGTCCAACCATCCTTAGATTATCTTGTCCAACCATCTGTAGATTATCATGTCCAACCATCCTTAGATTATCATGTCCAACCATCCTTAGATTATCATGTCCAACCATCCTTAGATTATCATGTCCAACCATCCTTAGATTATCATGTCCAACCATCCTTAGATTATCATGTCCAACCATCCTTAGATTATCATGTCCAACCATCCACAGATTATCATGTCCAACCATCCTTAGATTATCTTGTCCAACCATCTGTAGATTATCATGTCCAACCATCCTTAGATTATCATGTCCAACCATCCTTAGATTATCATGTCCAACCATCCTTAGATTATCATGTCTAACCATCCTTAGATTATCATGTCCAACCATCCTTAGATTATCATGTCCAACCATCCTTAGATTATCATGTCCAACCATCCTTAGATTATCTTGTCCAACCATCCTTAGATTATCTTGTCCAACCATCCTTAGATTATCATGTCCAACCATCCTTAGATTATCATGTCTAACCATCCTTAGATTATCATGTCCAACCATCCTTAGATTATCATGTCCAACCATCCTTAGATTATCATGTCCAACCATCCTTAGATTATCTTGTCCAACCATCCTTAGATTATCTTGTCCAACCATCCACAGATTATAACCTAACCCAAGTTTGAAGGCAAACAAAAATGTGTCTAGTCTGATTTGATGTAGTTCATGTGAATGTTGGTAGCATATGCTGAGATAATATTGCTGCATCACCCACATCTTCTAGACAGTTAAGACATGATGCTTCTGTATGTCAATAATTAGGTATTCCTATATAATCACACATTCCAATAAACTCCTGATAATTAACAATTCTAGACTGTTTTCAAAAGGCCCAATATGTTACTAGCATAAGTAAAGAAGCATTTAATTGTTTACCTTGTCTTAAGGGGGTCATCCATTTATGACATCTTTACAGTGGGGGTGGGGGGGGGGGAATTTTAAAAAATACCAGACTTTTGTGGATTTGGAGGGGGGGGGGTCTGAACATGTGGATGTCCACATGTTAAATAATGTAACATTGAAGTGCTTAAATTCTAAAATAAACATAAAACTTGTATCCTGTAAGTAAAAGGTAAAATTAAAACTGTGCTTGTGTTTAAAAGACCATAAAATAAAACATTTATATCTACCCTAACATTATTGCAAGAATAGATCATGATACTTTTTGAAACCCTCCTCCTGACCATCATTTACTGACGACCCCTAAGTAAAACTAGTACCTCCTTGGTAGCTGCCGATGTAGTAAACAGAAATAGAGGTACGAAACCAAGGAGGCCTTGCAACTTATTGATCTTACAAATGCTAATATTAATTATTAAAATACATCCAACTAGTACACAGAATAATTCTTTTTACACCTTACCCCCACACAAATTGTTTAATAGTTGCAATGAGTTTTGATTGTTAATTTGGTAATGTGGAAATTCCTTTAAAAAAATAATGTATTTTTAACATAAAAAATACTCATTTTTTCTCTACACTCTAGATTCTAGGGCAAGGGTCTAAAATCCAAAAATTTTGAGGACGTCATAAATGGATGACCCCTTAACCACAGTTAGTCAATCGTTTACCTAAAGTCATAGTGACAGTGAATTGTTTACCTATAGTTATAGCCAGTTAGTCAATTGTTTACCTATATTTATAGTGACAGTAAATTGTTTACTTAAGTCATAGTGACAGTGAATTATATACATAGTTTTAGCGACAGTGAATTGTATACCTATACTTGTAGAGACAGAGTCTATTGTTTGCCTATAATCATAGGGAAAGTTAGTGAATTGTTTAAGTAAAGTCATAAGTACTGTGCCTTCTGGGTACAAAATGAAGAAAGAAAATAAGATTATGGGGTGCAGCATCCGCTATGTGATTAAAGCATACAAGCAGCATACATGGTAACAGGGAGAATAGCAGTAGGAAGACAAGCAATGGACTCCAGCATCCAGCTAACATAGCATGAGCTAATTATGGAATTAAGCCAGGGCTTTGGTACTTGCCTATCTTTGGCCTTCTCACTGAACCTTCAAGTAAAACATACTAGTCAATTCATTGGCTCTACAAGTACAACATCTTTTTAAAGGTCTGATAGTCTTTTCAATTGGTCTACAAGACATTTTCAGTGGTCTAAAAGTCTTTCCAATTGCTCTAAAAGACATTTTCAATGGCTCAAAATAACACATCTATTTAACATTATGGTCTTTATTTTTAGAAATATGAGCATACTTGAAAACTACACATCTGTCAACATGAGCCAACATGAGCCATACATGTCAACATGAGCCATATAAGTACACACATGTCACCATGAGCTACATATGTCACCATGAGCCACATAAGTCAACTACACACATGTCAACATGAGCCACACATGTCACCATCAGCCACACATGTCAACATGAGCCACACATATCAACTACACACATCACCATGAGCCACATATGTCAACATGAGCCACACATGTCAACATGAGCCACACATGTCAACTACACACATCACCATGAGCCACACATGTCAACATGAGCCACATATGTCAACATGAGCCACACATGTCAACATGAGCCACACATATCAACATAAGCCACACCTGTCAACATAAGCCACACATGTCAACATGAGCCACACATGTCAACATGAGCCACACATGTCAACATGAGCCACACATGTCAACATGAGCCACACATGTCAACATGAGCCACACATGTCACCATGAGCCACACATGTCAACATGAGCCACACATGTCAACATGAGCCACACATGTCAACATGAGCCACACATGTCAACATGAGCCACACATGTCAACATGAGCCACACATGTCAACATGAGCCACACATGTCAACTACACAATGCTATAGTTACCTTGTTTCATTCTGTCCGTGTCATTGCGTGGTGGTCTTCTAGGTGCTGGGGAGACAAATGTATGTATGAGACTGTTGTGCCTTCTAGACTCTTCCATCCGCTCATGACAAAGTACAAGTGATCAGCCTATGACTCACACCACTCAATAGCATCCTTTGTTCAAGTGGACCTCACATCTTTACTATCACTTTTCTTTTGGCTCTTGACATTATTGAATGATGGATAGAATGCACTTAAAGTGGAGCATATATTTAATGCTGAAGACACACTACATCAAATTGGAGCATGTTTTCAATGCTGTAGGTTCAACAGAAAGCAAGTGGAACAGGTTGGAGGGTATAGGGAGAGGTACTCACCTGTCTGAACAGGGAAGGGCTTGCCTATACATTCTTTATGGACAGCTTTCTTGGTGTCTGGGAAACAAACAACATCAATAGCAAGATGGAAACTAGGCTGGGTCTGGCTGTTGTTGGGGACAGTATGGCTGTTGCTATGCTTAGTGTAACTGTTGCTATGGTCAACATGCTTGTTGCTATGGTCAGTGTGATGGTTGCTTAAGTCAGTGTAGCTGTTGCTATGTTAAATGTGATGTTTGCTAAGGTCAGTGTGGCTATTGCTATGGTCAGTGTGATGGTTGCTATGGTCAGTGTGGCTACAGCTATGGTCAGTATAAATGGTTGCTAAAGTCAGGGTGGCTAATGCTAATGTCACTGTGATGTTTGCTTAAGTCAGTGTAGCTGTTGCTATGTTAAATGTGATGGTTGCTATGGTCAGTGTGGCTATTGCTATAGTCAGTGTGACTGTTGTTAATATGTCACATTTTAACATTTTGGAAAAACTGCAAATATTCTGATCATCTCTGGTTTCAGACAAATGTATATATCAATAAATATTCAAACTTGTAAACATAGATCAATTTTAGTAGTATAGTGATAAACAAAACATAACTACAAAGTTCTTACCTTGACATGTATAACCCTGGAAAAAAATCCCCCTCAAAAGTTTGCCACACACATCACACTCCCTTGGTGTGTCAAAGGTTGTCATAATGAAGTTACGACCAGGGTTACTGTTGTCCCTGTCAGGTAAACAAACATGGCAGGTTGGGCTAATGTGGCAGGTTGGGCTAATGTGGCAGGTTGGGCTAATGTGGCAGGTTGGGCTAATGTGGTAGGTTGGGCTAATAAGGCAGGTTAGGCTAATGTGGCAGGTTGGGCTAATGTGGCAGGATGGGCTAATGTGGCAGGTTGGGCTAATGTGGCAGGTTGGGCTAATAAGGCAGGTTAGGCTAATGTGGCAGGTTGGGCTAATGTGGCAGGTTGGGCTAATAAGGCAGGTTAGGCTAATGTGGCAGGTTGGGCTAATGTGGCAGGTTGGGCTAATGTGACAGACTAGCCTAACGTGGCAGGTTGGGCTAATGTGGCAGGTTGGGCTAATGTGGCAGGTTGGGCTAATGTGGCAGGTTGGGCTAATGTGGCAGGTTGGGCTAATGTGGCAGACTAGTCTAACGTGGCAGGTTGGGCTAATGTGGCAGGTTGGGCTAATGTGGCAGGTTGGGCTAATGTGGCAGACTAGTCTAACGTGGCAGGTTGGGCTAATGTGGCAGGTTGGGCTCATGTGGCAGGATAGGCTAATGTGGCAGGTTGGGCTAATGTGGCAGGTTGGGCTAATGTGGCAGGTTGGGCTAATGTGGCAGGTTGGGCTAATGTGGCAGGATGGGCTAATGTGGCAGGTTGGGCTAATGTGGCAGGATGGGCTAATGTGGTAGGTTGGGCTAATGTAGCAGGTTAGGCTAATGTGGCAGGTTGGGCTAATGTGGCAGGTTGGGCTAATGTGGCAGGATGGGCTAATGTGACAGACTAGCCTAATGTGGCAGGTTGGACTAATGTGGCAGACTAGTCTAACGTGGCAGGTTGGGCTAATGTGGCAGGTTGGGCTAATGTGGCAGGTTGGGCTAATGTGGCAGGATAGGCTAATGTGGCAGGATAGGCTAACGTGGCAGGTTGGGCTTATGTGGCAGGTTGGGCTAATGTGGCAGGCTGGGCTAATGTGGCAGGTTGGGCTAATGTGGCAGGTTGGGCTAATGTGGCAGGTTGGGCTAATGTGGCAGGTTGGGCTAATGTGGCAGGTTGGGCTAATGTGGCAGGTTGGGCTAATGTGACAGACTAGCCTAACGTGGCAGGTTGGGCTAATGTGGCAGGTTGGACTAATGTGGCAGGTTGGGCTAATGTGGCAGGTTGGGCTAATGTGGCAGGTTGGGCTAATGTGGCAGGTTGGGCTAATGTGGCAGACTAGTCTAACGTGGCAGGTTGGGCTAATGTGGCAGGTTGGGCTAATGTGGCAGGTTGGGCTAATGTGGCAGGTTGGGCTAATGTGGCAGACTAGTCTAACGTGGCAGGTTGGGCTAATGTGGCAGGTTAGGCTCATGTGGCAGGATAGGCTAATGTGGCAGGTTGGGCTAATGTGGCAGGTTGGGCTAATGTGGCAGGTTGGGCTAATGTGGCAGGTTGGGCTAATGTGGCAGGATGGGCTAATGTGGCAGGATGGGCTAATGTGGCAGGATGGGCTAATGTGGTAGGTTGGGCTAATGTAGCAGGTTAGGCTAATGTGGCAGGTTGGGCTAATGTGGCAGGATGGGCTAATGTGACAGACTAGCCTAATGTGGCAGGTTGGACTAATGTGGCAGACTAGTCTAACGTGGCAGGTTGGGCTAATGTGGCAGGTTGGGCTAATGTGGCAGGTTGGGCTAATGTGGCAGTTTGGGCTAATGTGGCAGGATAGGCTAACGTGGCAGGTTGGGCTTATGTGGCAGGTTGGGCTAATGTGGCAGGCTGGGCTAATGTGGCAGGTTGGGCTAATGTGGCAGGTTGGGCTAATGTGGCAGGTTGGGCTAATGTGGCAGGTTGGGCTAATGTGGCAGGATAGGCTAATGTGGCAGGTTGGGCTAATGTGGCAGGATAGGCTAATGTGGCAGGTTGGGCTAATGTGGCAGGTTGGGCTAATGTGACAGACTAGCCTAATGTGGCAGGTTGGGCTAATGTGACAGGTTAGGCTAATGTGGCAGGATAGGCTAACGTGACAGAGCACTTACAAGGCTAATGTGACAGCTTCCTTCCACTTGTCCCTTTGTTCAGCAGTTTTAGCATAGAATGTGTAGGCGGTTGTCCTCTCCTTGACCATTATAAAAGGGTAGCTCCACTGGGTAGAGGGGACAAGAACAATTAACAACATCATTATAAATGGTGTTGATGGTATGGTCAAACAGGTGCCCTGTCAAAACGACCTGGGACAAATCGGCCCCGTCAAAACGGCCCCGTTAATATGACCCCGTCAAATCGACTCCCGACCCCGTCAAAATAGCCCCGTCAAAAGGGCTCCGACTTATTGGCTCCCGTCAAATGGGCTGCCGTCATATTGACTTGCGACATATAGGCTCCCGACAAATGGGCTCCCGACAAATAGACTTCCGACATATTGGCTCCCGACAGATAGGCTCAGGACATATTGGCTCCCGACAAATGGGCTCCCGACATAAGGGCTCACGATAAATGGGCTCCCAACAAATGGGCTCACGACATATTGGCTACCAACAATTGGGCTCCCGACATATTGGCTCCCGACAGTTGGGCTCCCGACAAAAGGACTCCTGCCATATTGGCTACAGACAAAATGGCTCCTGACAATTGGACTCTAGACAAAAGAAGTCCAGACATATTGGCTCCCGACTAAATGACTCCCGACTTATTGGCTCACTATAAAATGGCTCCGGTTAAATAACTCCCGACTTAAAACACTTCCCGACAAAGAAACCGTTTTCTGAGGAGTTATCATATTTTTATCTTTAAACAGTTCGCTTTCTACAAAGTTTCGAGTATTGTAATTTTATATTAACCTGATTTAAGTGCATGCTGAGCTGTTGTTTACGCCACACGACCCAAGCTCAGCTGTTTCTGTTTAAATTTAGCATGCATGTTACACATTTTGCGTTTGTTGTCTAGGTTTTTCACATGTTAATTTCAATGTATGGATGTCCACATGGACCCCCTCCCTCCTTCCCAGTCCACGACAGTCGATGTTAATCGACACTCCACCCACCATGTTGACGTCATAAAAGGATGACGGCTAGCAAACATGCTTTTGAAAAATTGATCCCTGGACTACAAAAACAACACACGAAGATGTTAACAATGTATTATAAGGCGTGGGGGGAGGGGGTGGTCTGTACGGAAGTGTTGAATGTTGCCAGGAAGTAGTTCATAAATGATACATTTATCTACTCGATACTTGCAAGGCTAAAAAGAGGGGTGAGATGGAGGTCGGCACGGGAAAAAACTTGAAAGAGACAACAAAGCGTTTATGTACGTCAGCATCGCCCTTTGTAAAACTTACTCAGGGGAGATAATTCCAAGTATAGGCCCTAAAAGTTTACTATTATATTACTTGTAAAATAAAATAAAAAGTAAACATATATAAAACTGAAGTTTCTAGTATTATATTATTTTTTATTTTTTTATTATTTGTAGGATACAACATAATACAGGATACAAATTCAACCACTATCACAAACCCCTATTTAACATTGAAAAATGTTTAATGAATTTCGGGTCTAATGTCGCAAAGAAGAACCGCGCATCACGAAAGCCCACTTCATATGTAGCTGCTTCTCGTGCCATGGACTTTGTTGTTTTTTTAAAAAGAATTTTGCCGGCGACAGCGTGTGTTTGGTTGTAGGGAAATAGAACTCGGCCTTGTTGGTGCCCATCCCTTGCCCCATCCGCCACAGTACACTTTGGAGGATCGGTCAAACAGTTACGTGTCCTCTATTTGGCTATCAAAAGGGGGCAACGTGTATAATGGGCTGCAGCATCCTACACCCCTAAGTAGAAATGTAACAGATGACCACTTAACTAAAAAATAATACAGTACAAGAAATACTTTTAAAAAAAATTAAGACATGGCGACCTAAAGCTAAGGACGCTTTATTATCTTAGGCTCATTTCTGTAGTCCATTGAGGAATGGTGGGTGTTGACATGAGCCATTATCATTATGTCGGGAGCCGTATTGACGAGAGCCAAAATAACGAGCCTTTTTGTCAGGAACCATATTGACGGGAGCCTATTTGTCGCGAGCCTAAATAACGGGAGCCTATATGACGGGCGCCACATAGTCAATTTATCGAGAGTCTTAATGACCGGAGCCTTTTTGTCATGAGCCAATTTAACGGGAGCCAATTTGACGCGAGCCTAGATGACGGAAGCCCTTTTATCAGGAACTATATTGACGGGAGCCCTTTTGCTGGGAGCCCTTTTGTCTGGAGCCATTTTTGTCGTGAGCCTAATTGACTGGAGCCTAAATGACGGGATATGATATGAGCCAAATTGTCGGTTGTCGTAATGACGGGAGCCTATTTGTTAGAATCCTTATTGACGGGAGCCCTTTTGTCGCGAGCCTTATTGACGGTAGCCCTTTTGACTGGAGCCTAAATGACGGGATCCATTTGTCTATGAACCTTTTGACGGGGCTATTTTGACGGGGCCGTTTTGTCGGGGTTGTTTTGACGGGGCCGTTTTGTCACGGGCCGGTTTGACGCCGCACGGGTCAAACATGCTTGAGTCTCTAGGAAGTCCTGACTCTTCCCAGCTCTGATGGGTACCTAACTCATTTAAGGGGAAAAATGGTCAAAGTGATGACCACACTACCCTCTCGAATGCCGAGGTCATTAAAACAGATGAACTCTACTTCATCTGCTCCATGTGTCTTAAGCACAAATGGGAAAAGATGATGATGCAACAATGTGGTAGAGGGTACCAAACACAGTCAGCCAACCACACCATGACAATCTGCCAACCACACCAAGACAATCTGCCAACCACACCATGACAATCTGCCAACCACACCAAGACAACATGCCAACCACACCAAGACAAACTGCCAACCACACCAAGACAACCTGCCAACCACACCAAGACAACCTGCCAACCACACCAAGACAATCTGCCAACCACACCAAGACAATCTGCCAACCACACCAAGACAATCTGCCAACCACACCAAGACAACCTGCCAACCACACCAAGACAATCTGCCAACCACACCAAGACAATCTGCCAACCATACCAAGACAATCTGCCAACCACACCAAGACAACCTGCCAACCACACCAAGACAACCTGCCAACCACACCAAGACAGTCTGCCAACCACACCAAGACAATCTGCCAACCACACCATGACAATCTGCCAACCAGTCTAAAAAAATATTTACCCCTCTCTGTGTGGCCTGAAATAAATCAATAAGATATAAACTTGAGTACCTATTTCAGGTGAGGTTTGACATTCAAAAGTTCATCAAGTAAATAGAACAAAAAAACTTTCTAACAAGAAAACCCTTTCAATAGTTTATGATCTCTAACAAACAAGTATCTGCCCTTTCTTAAGGCAAATGGAACACAGCTGTGTGTGGCAAGAAGCTGACTCCACTACTGAATAGAGTTATCTTTATGTTCATTTTATTGACACATTTCATAGCTCATTCAATTTAAAATTCTTACAATCTCATTAAAGACAATCATGTGAGGAAATCAAATCTCTGCATTTAAAGTGGGTCAAAATAGAGTAACAAGATTGGCCACAAACTCAACAAACAAACAGACATTGTGAACTAAAATAAAAGATTATAAAAAGAATATTTTGTTAAATAATAGCAAAATAAAGCCTATGACTTGAATATAAGCAACAAGGCCTACACATTAGACGAGTCCACAGACATCAGACAAAGTACATACCTTGTCTGCTCTCCTGTCATTGCTGAATGCACTGTTGTCTATTTTGTACTCTCCCAAGACAATGGCATCTTTAAAACTGTAGGTGTCACCCTAGAATACACAGGAGAAATCATACATTTCCATTCTAGGCAGCCAGGGACAAAAGCTAAGACTAATGACAAACCTTTTCTAGAGGAAACAATCATATTTAGGCTGCCAACATACACAGTCACATGCAGACAAATATTTAGTTCAATACTTGAACATACACAAGGGGGGGGGGGGGGGGGGGGGCGGCTTACACCAGCGGCATGGGCTTACAGAAGGGCTGCCTACCCGATAAAAACTTTCGATAAAAACTTTCAATAAACTCTTTTTACATACATATATATTAATATAAAATAAATAATGTTTATTTTGCATGCAATGTAATGGAATGTTCATTGTTTAATTATATCAAAGTTGATTGGAAATAAATGGGCTATGTTGCGCATGTTTTTTTCAAAGAAATGGAAAAACGCTGACTATATTCGTTGATCAGCCTTTAAGTTAATGCTAATCTTCACTAGCCACAGCAAATGTGTGGGATCTGAGGGAGGTGACAGCATAGACCTAACAACAACTGCAGGTCACAACTAGCTCAGTGGGATCTGAGGGAGGTGACAGCATAGACCTAACAACAACTGCAGGTCACAACTAGCTCAGTGGGATCTGAGGGAGGTGACAGCATAGACCTAACAACAACTGCAAGTCACAACTAGCTCAGTGGGATCTGAGGGAGGTGACAGCATAGACCTAACAACAACTGCAGGACACAACTAGCTCAGTGGGATCTGAGGGAGGTGACAGCATAGACCTAACAACAACTGCAGGTCACAACTAGCTCAGTGGGATCTGAGGGAGGTGACAGCATAGACCTAACAACAACTGCAAGTCACAACTAGCTCAGTGGGATCTGAGGGAGGTGACAGCATAGACCTAACAACAACTGCAGGACACAACTAGCTCAGTGGGATCTGAGGGAGGTGACAGCATAGACCTAACAACAACTGCAGGACAAAACTAGCTCAGTGGGATCTGAGGGAGGTGACAGCATAGACCTAACAAAAACTGCAAGTCACAACTAGCTCAGTGGGATCTGAGGGAGGTGACAGCATAGACCTAACAAAAACTGCAAGTCACAACTAGCTCAATTTTAAATAAGGACACAAGAAACCTCATTTACAGTGATAACCATTTCTATCTCAGTGGAAGGTGACAGCACTAAAACATAACCTGATTGGTGGAACTAGAACTAGGGGTATATTAATGCAAGTAGGCAGCCTTGTGGGGAGAGCATTGTTTGTCCAGGTGAGTACATGACCCAGCCAGCCTAGGACCCAGCCAGCCCGTGAAATGAACATGCAGCTTGTTGTAACCAAGACTAATGAGTAGAGACTACAAGACTCCATACACAGGCAGGTCACCATAGGCAGGTCACCACAGGCACACATAGGCCACAACATATGGGACTTCCATGCAGTCAGTCAGCAATTATTGCAGGCAGGCAGCAATTATTGCAGTCAAGTACACAAAAGTCAAACTAAGTTCCATGCAATCAGCAATACATTGCATTCTTGTACACAATAAATGCAATCAAGTTAGGATATATGTAAAAGAAAATCTTAATTAGGGTACACAAGTCAATACTACAATAAATGCATTCAAGTTGAGGATCAACTGAAGTCTTTGCTACAACATGGTACAATACAGGTCAAGACTAGGCCATTGATCTACACACTGACCTACACATAAACACATGCAATGTGTGTTCATCCACGCTTTGATTGGGGCATTTCATGCTAGCCAGACATCTGCAGACATTCAAATGTCACACACATGGCATCCAGTCAAACTAGCTGACATTCAAATGTCACATACAACAGCAATCTTTGCTTAACATAGCATTTAGTCTTAACAGACATTGTGCCAGTATTATATATAAACTCTAAAAGAGAATTATTACTTTAAAAAAAACAACTACCAAACATTAATTAAATGTGCTAGAAACATATTTTACCAAGTATCAGATTCTAGCAAGATGCACAATCTAGAACTCATGAATACAGGCTGTTATCAAACAAGAGGTAACTATGTTTAGTGCAACCCCCACCCATCGCCTTCTAACAAGTGGTAACTATGTTTACCCCTACCCCAATGCACTCTAGCCTTTAATTTTACATTAACCCAACCCTACCTTTGACCAAAAAACCATACACCCTCTGCTAAATACTGTACACCTCTTACAAAAAAAAAATGATGACACCCTCTTACAATATCCCTAAAACTTTACACCCCTTCACCCTAGTTAAAGCACTTACCAAAAAACAACCTAAAATCCAACCCCCTCTCCCCCTCCCCCTGGCAGAAAACCCAAACCCACACATAACAAGTCATAACAAGTCATCCCCCCCCCCCCCCCACTAACTTCATTTAGATGACAAATGCTATAAAGTGGTGTCATTAACCCTAATCTGCAACCCAACTTGAACCAACCAAATGGTGTATGCTCCTGTAACTTACACCTGACCTAGGTAGACCACCTCATGTAGCAGGGTAAGAGAAGAGGTTATACAAAGAAAATAATGGAATGGTTTGTTGAGCAAGAGCATTCTCAGCCAATTCTTACCCAGAAAAACTTGTCCACAATCTAAAGTTGGGATAGCACAACATAGAAGAATAAACAACAGATTAATATCAGGGGAAATAATCAGTACAGGGAGGCAATCATTCCCCATTTTAGGACTTATATTTAATTTGAAAAACTGTAGTCATCCTTACAGTACACAATTATTGTGTGCTGGTATGATCAGAAAACTTATAAGGTGTTAGATGGGTACTTATTCAACATTTTCAGAAATAAAATGTAAATAGCTTGAGAAAAACAAAGGGATACTGGATGTCTATTGAATGAGAAAAAAACATATCTGGCAAAAGCTGAAGCTAATCAGTAATATTAACTATAAAAGCTTAGGTTATAAAATGATGATTAAAACTCAAATAGAGGCAAAGCATTTTTTTTAAAGTGTTCAGCTTGTGCATTGTGTTCATAAAAAAGTGATCATTTGTCAATGATAATTTTCATTAGTAATTATTTAAAACAAAGTAGTTTGCAAATTAATTTGAATTTTTTAATATCTTTAATAGGATGAGGCAAAGATTAAAGACATCACAAGGATAAGAATGTTTTAAAAACTTGAATGATGAATCCACAGGTGCAAGTATTGATGTATTAAGAAGGGTACTTAAACTACTTAAGATGGTTTTCATTGCCTGTCATCAGTTATTTCCCCTAAGTATAGTATTGACATCCATATGGCAAGCATGTACATGACATCCCACAGATGTACAACACACCATGACATCTGGATGCAGTGCTAGGCTATACTGACAACAGCACTCAACAAGCAGAGACCAAGCATGTCATGTAGGTGCCAGCCTCGGCTTGTTAGTGGCTAGTCTCAAATGGAACAAATACAAGAGATATGGGCTCTATGCAGCACACAACCAGGAGAGAAATCTAGTCGCAAGCTCTAACACTAGCTCAGACACTCTTTAGAGCTGCTCACCCAACCTCTATTTTGGTGAAACAACAATGACAAAAATCAAATAAAAAAAAAGTTGACCAAAGTGTGGTGATGGAACATGAAAAGTGGAAAATCAAATAAAAATTATCCAATCAGGCAAGATATACATAATACACAATAACAATAAATGGCATAGAAATGCTGTAACTTTTAATTACTTTTAGGTTGTAATTGTGGTATAAATTAGTTTGACAAGATTTGGCAATACGACTGGTGCCCTTAATGAAGTTTATCAGTGGATGGGAAAGTTTAGACAGTGAGTGCTGATAATGTTAGAGCTTCTTGCTTCATCTCCTCTATTTGACAGACACCACCATCTCACAACACTAGACCCACTGACCTACAGCCTACATTTAGTGGCCTGACACCCCACAACACTAGACCCACTGACCTACACCCTACATTTAGTGGCCTGACACCCCACAACACTAGACCCACTGACCTACAGCCTACATTTAGTGGCCTGACACCCCACAACACTAGACCCACTGACCTACAGCCTACATTTAGTGGCCTGACACCCCACAACACTAGAGCCACTGACCTACAGCCTACATTTAGTGGCCTGACACCCCACAACACTAGACCCACTGACCTACAGCCTACATTTAGTGGCCTGACACCCCACAACACTAGACCCACTAGTGGCCTGACACCCCACAACACTAGACCCACTGACCTACAGCCTACATTTAGTGGCCTGACACCCCACAACACTAGAACCACTAGTGGCCTGACACCCCACAACACTAGACCCACTAGTGGCCTGACACCCCACAACACTAGACCCACTAGTGACCTGACACCCCACAACACTAGACCCACTAGTGACCTGACACCCCACAACACTAGACCCACTGACCTACAGCCTACATTTAGTGGCCTGACACCCCACAACACTAGACCCACTAGTGGCCTGACACCCCACAACACTAGACCCACTAGTGGCCTGACACCCCACAACACTAGACCCACTAGTGGCCTGACACCCCACAACACTAGACCCACTAGTGGCCTGACACCCCACAACACTAGACCCACTGACCTACAGCCTACATTTAGTGGCCTGACACCCAACAACACTAGAACCACTAGTGGTCTGACACCCCACAACACTAGAACCACTGACCTACAGCCTACACTTAGTAGCCTGACACACCACAGACCTAGGAACAAAATCTTAGCTTTAACAAGACAAGTAGTTGACCTACCTTAGCTTTGCACATGAGCATGACTTTATCAAAGAGAAAAATATGCCTGGAATGAGAAAGGAATTGTTTTCATGTAAGTTGGAATGTTAGGCTGGTACATTTGTATTTGACAAGATACTGTCCACTCTTTACAAATGTTCTTGTGATTAGGATTCATGCTCCAGTTAATACCATATGAAATGAACACTGCGCCAGTTAATACCATATTAAATGAACACTGCGCCAGTTAATACCATATTAAATGAACACTGCGCCAGTTAATACCATATGTTATGAACACTGCGCCAGTTAATACCATATTAAATGAACACTGCGTCAGTTAATACCATATGAAATGAACATGTGCGCCAGTTAATACCATATGAAATGAACACTGCGCCAGTTAATACCATATGAAATGAACATTGCGTCAGTTAATACCATATGAAATGAACACTGCGCCAGTTAATACCATATGTTATAAACACTGCGCCAGTTAATACCATATGAAATGAACACTGCGCCAGTTAATACCATATTAAATGAACACTGCGCCAGTTAATACCATATGTTATGAACACTGCGCCAGTTAATACCATATTAAATGAACACTGCGCCAGTTAATACCATATTAAATGAACACTGCGCCAGTTAATACCATATGAAATGAACACTGCGCCAGTTAATACCATATGAAATGAACACTGCGCCAGTTAATACCATATTAAATGAACACTGCGCCAGTTAATACCATATGAAATGAACACTGCGCCAGTTAATACCATATGAAATGAACACTGCGCCAGTTAATACCATATGAAATGAACACTGCGCCAGTTAATACCATATGAAATGAACACTGCCATACTTTCAATCATTAGCAACAGGCGTGTGAAGCTGTCAACAGGTTTTAGTGCTGTTTTCATTAAGTTGGTTATTTTTTTAACTTGGTTAATTTATAATTAATTGAAATATTTAACAAAATAAAGTTCAAAATATTGTCACTGTAAATAGTTAATTGAAATTTATTATTTTTCATGTTTAAAGCATTGTTATTGGTCATGATTTTAATTGTAATGCTGAACAGTGGGATGGACTGTATACACAAACTAATAGAAATGATTCATTTGGCCTAAACTATCATCATTTTTAACTTCAAAAATTGTTTATGGTTTTTAATTAACTGTTTAAAAATTATTTCATCAGGAGTGATAATACAGTAGATGCAACTCTCAGACATTTTATACAAATAGATAAATGCTTATTTCAATAATGTGTGCTGGATTTTTTCAACTTCTTCAAAAATAATGTACTTTAACTTCACCAAAGAAAAAATATTTCAGCTTCATTAGATATAAAATAGTTTAGTTCATAAATTAAATTCATCAAAGAAAAATATTTCAACTTCATAAATTAAATTCATCAAAGAAAAATATTTCAACTTCATAAGTTAAATTCATCAAAGAAAAATATTTCAACTTCATAAGTTAAATTCATCAAAGAAAAATATTTCAACTTCATAAGTTAAATTCATCAAAGAAAAATATTTCAACTTCATAAGTTAAATTCATCAAAGAAAAATATTTCAACTTCATAAGTTAAATTCATCAAAGATAAATATTTCAACTTCGTAAGTTAAATTCATCAAAGAAAAATATTTCAACTTCATAAGTTAAATTCATCAAAGAAAAATATTTCAACTTGATAAGTTAAATTCATCAAAGAAAAATATTTCAACTTCATAAGTTAAATTCATCAAAGAAAAATATTTCAACTTCATAAGTTAAATTCATCAAAGAAAAATATTTCAACTTGATAAGTTAAATTCATCAAAGAAAAATATTTCAACTTCATAAGTTAAATTCATCAAAAATAAAATACTTAAATCAAAGAATTTTTTTTATATTAGATTGAAAAAAAGACATTCTTACGTTGTCTTTTGAATTATCTGAAGTGTTTTTAAAATTGCTGCATTTAGAAATATGTCAAAATAAAGTTCAGAGATTAGACCACCAACTACCATTGTGACTGAGGCCAAAACAGTTAATAAAAGCTTGAAAAAGAAGAATGGCAACAAACTATGAAAGCCATCAAATTGAATATAATATGCCATGTGTAGTGTGGTTTTACTCTGGTAACTCTGTGCTGGGGTTAGATAATGACATGCTAGCTGGGCAGATATGGTTACCTTTTCTCCACTTTTCCTACTGGCTCAGACCTGGGATCAAAATAATCAAAACAAGGTACAGCAAGGTGGGGGGAGACCAGGTGTGGTGGGGGAGACCAGGTGTGGTAGGGGAGACCAGGTGTGGTGGGGGAGACCAGGTGTGGTGGGGGAGACCAGGTGTGGTAGGGGAGACCAGGTGTACATCAAGCTGGGGGAGACCAGGTGTGGTGGGGGAGACCAGGTGTGGTAGGGGAGACCAGGTGTGGTGGGGGAGACCAGGTGTACATCAAGCTGGGGGAGACCAGGTGTGGTGGGGGAGACCAGGTGTGGTAGGGGAGACCAGGTGTGGTGGGGGAGACCAGGTGTGGTGAGGGGGGACCAGGTGTACATCAAGCTGGGGGAGACCAGGTGTGGTGGGGGAGACCAGGTGTGGTAGGGGAGACCAGGTGTGGTGGGGGAGACCAGGTGTGGTGGGGGAGACCAGGTGTGGTGGGGGAGACCAGGTGTGGTGGGGGAGACCAGGTGTGGTGGGGGAGACCAGGTGTGGTGGGGGAGACCAGGTATACGTACAGCAAGAAGGGAACATACATTGTTGTTAAAATAGAACTTAGAGAATTGAGGTGAATGGAACTATGTAGTAACATAACTAAATACATCTGTAGTGCCCTCTGTACAGTTGTCAAATATTAGCAACAAAAAAGCAAGTATACAATCAAGCCAGCACATAGAAGAAAAAGACATCTCTTACAAAAGGCTCTTGTTAGTTCTAAGGTGGGTCACAGAGATGTCTATATACATGACCTGACAATACACACCTGTTTCTCTGTCGGTTGTCTGCATGAGACAAAACTTTAAGTTCTCCGTCTTTCTGGAACCTTCCATAGTCCTTGAGGGAGGTGTTGGGTGGCTGAAAAAAGGATCAATGAAATCAGCGGATAGAAAACAGAGATTCCATGTTATAAATGTTGGCATCAAACAACAATCCTAACCAATAAATACAGCTAAAATTTACACTGCTGGCCTATATCTGCCATTAGATCAAGCTTAGAAGAACTTACAGCTAGACACTTAACCTTTTCAAGATAGAATTTACAATTAGAAATATACTGCCTACAAAAATATCGTCATACATCAACAGTATATACCATCCCTCAAACAACGGAACTTACCATCTTTAGATCATTAATGCTGAAAAAAAATAAATTCAAATGACTTTATTAAACATTTAATTAAAAATATTAATTACAGACAAAATATTTATTTACTTTAAAAAATCCTTAAGTGTAAAAGACTAAAGCTGCAAGCATCAGAACAACAACTACCTATTTTGTATTTCTTCAATGACTTGTAAACCTTCATGATCTCGTTTCACTTCATTCACATACAATGACAAATCCTGAAACAAACATTGGTATCATAACTGTTAATCTCCAGTATACCACATAATAGCTGGCATACAAGCACTACAATAGCCACATGATCACATTCCACCAGAGGTAACCAAATACAAGAATTGGTAGACCAACACACTCATCTAATATAATAAACTAATTGTTAGATAGCCTATATACTTAAAGCTTTTAATGGCACTGAAAATAATTAAATAAAACGAAACTGCTTTCTGTAATAAAAGCATTGGTCACTGATAAAATTTCTTACACCAATTGGCTTTCATTAAATGAAAATGTTTGATACACTTATTTTCAGTGCATTTAAAAGTTTATTATAAGAAGGGATTTTTATTTTTTTTACCTTCGATACATTTTAAGTTTTAAAAAAAACTAGTGAGCTTACTTTATTTTTTTTGTATTCTGTTAGGTATTCAAAATGAAATTTTTATAATGAAATTAAATAAAATTTAACACTTCCACCTGATAGAGACTGTTTTCATCAGAACAGAAACACCAAATTTATTGGTGTATGTCCATTTTTAAAAAAGTTATGAATTTTTTAAAACTCAAAAAATGCGTTCGCTTTTTGAGCAGTAAAGGGTCTATTTGAGACCCCTACTAACTTCTACAATAACTAAGTTAGAACTCTCAAATTTCTTGCACACACAGCCAGTAATACAAATAGCAAACCCAATTTTTTTCAAGGTAGTCAGACCGATATAAATAGAAAATTTATTCACATAAAAATGAGCCAAAGCACAATTTTACCGAAGTACGAAAAGGGAGACAAAAAGTTAATTTACAGTCATTTTTAAAAAATCATAGAAAATCAACTAATTAAGCCACATTAATAATATAAATGTTCTAAGAAAGGAAATTCAAAGCATGTTAATATGAAACAAGCAGGTAAAGAATTAGTAAAGAAAGTAATTAGCGAGACCAGATTAAGCAATGTCAGTTTATAAAAATTTGAAATTTTATCCTTTTTCAAAAAATGATTTAAAAATATTTAAGTAAGGTATCTCAATAAATTTTACACCAACTTAAAGCATATGATGTTCTTAATATATAATAAACACAGAAACATAACATAATCATTCTGCAAAACAATACAAGGCATCCTTCCTTAACGCCCAAAATCAAGAATTTTCATTACCTAACATCCTTCAAAAAGTGTTCTTACTTTTAAGAAAGTAATATTAATTGTGTAGGATACATGTTAGCATTAATTTGTTATAAAAAAAACTAAATAACTATACTATTACTTTACTTATATACTATAATAATAAGAAATTTCATGCATTTTAAAAACTGACGAAGTAAGATAACTAATAGACTTGTGATGTTCATCTAGTTTTGTTACTCTGGTTCCTAATCATGACTTGCTTAGCATGAATTTACTTGTTACTAGTATATTTATTTCTTTTAGTTAGTTATTGATCAAAGTCAACTTCTGGAAATGTCTAGGTCCTAACTTATACAATTATCAGAAATCTTAGAGCAGGTTCAAAAAGACAGGTCAATATCCTGATTGGGAAAGTTCTCTATGATGTTGGGTAGCATTGTAATAATTAATAGTCAATATCCTGGTTGAGTTTGTCTTGTCTTCTTCAAGGTTTGAAGTAGCATTGTAATAAATGATTGTGAACTGCCAGCACACATCAAATTATGGAATCTAGTAAGGGATCCTTCCATTGGTCCAGAGTAGAGAAAATGTCTGTGAATAAAAACAATTAATTAGCATTTCAAATATACTGACTTATATAGCAGGACTGTATATCTTTATACCAACTTAGATATCAATCATGTAACATTACATCATTATAAATATTAAGCAAAGTGCATACAATACTAACATTTGACAAATGGTTTCCTTCAAAAGTATTCAGGAGTCCTGTTGATGCTTACACAAACAATACATATTTTTTGGCAGGCCTTTCAGTTTCCACTTTCGTTTATGCTAATATCTTGCTCTGTAAATAGAATAATAATAATAAAGGTAAGGCTGCTCAATGCTTTTTAGATATAAATGTAAGTACTATAGATAGTTCTACTACTAAATATTAACATGAAAGCAATGGTGAATCTAACTAATCTAAGTAGATCTAGAATCTAGACTAAATCTAGAAACAACTTTGGACTAAACTATTATGGAAGGGGGGCTACATTTTATTTTAAGTCGTCTGTACAATAAATCTAGAGATTAAAAATGTAAAAGATCGTAATATTCTAAAATTTAATGTAACTACTGCACATATATAGAATAGTTAACTAATAAACTAGGAAAGACAAAAAAAAGCAATGCTACAATATATTGAAAGTATGCTGTTAACCGCTGCTGTAATATAATAGTTGAACCCAACACTACGAGAAAGTAAAAAAAAACATGGCGGACAGTCGGCTTGAAATATCGACAAAATATGGATAGTTTAATCGGCCGATGTTATTAACTAACATAATTTACTAAACCAAATTAAATTGTATCATCCTTTTAAACATCTTTTTGATTTAATTGTGCATTCCTTTTTTATTTCAGTGACCATAAATTAAATACAACGGACTTTTAAAAAAGGCTAGATAATTTTTTTGAAAAAAAATTTTTAAGCGTGGAGCAATTACCGATAAGCGGGCACTAATATTCAAATGTATTAAAGCAGCAGTTAATTATAAATAAAAAGAATATAGCTAGTAATATAACGTGCATTCAACTTACCTGCACATGCTTTTAAATCCACTGTAATCAACGAATAAACACAAAATCTGGTTCCGAACCGAGGTCGGGTGTTCCGGAATTCAACAAAATCTTGACTCAAGCCGGCGAAATTTAGATGCGGGTCGTCGCGATTTGTATACATTGGTTTCATTTACTGCGGTCCGACCCCATACATGGAGTGTTCATTAAATTGTAACAGTTTTATGGCAAATTGGATGCCCTTTCGGAATATACAACTTTGGCGGCTGTAAAATTATTTTTTCATGGAAAAAAAACATTTTAAAATTTTAAATTGAACATTTTTAGCATTTAATTATATTATACAGTTGGCAAAGTTATACCATCTTACAGAGCTACCATTCTTCTTTCTAAATCAGTGGTTTCTAATTGCGTATGTGTTATGGGGTCGGACCGCCGCGCGATGCCGCAACGCGACCAAAAATTTTTAAAACCGGCTTAAATTTTTCGGCTCATTTAGAATACCTAATTCTGTTCATTTTTAATGAAGACAACAAATAGATATGATCAAAAATATTTGCTCTAAAACCAAATCAGAAACTTGCGATCTCTAAAAGACAATTATCTGCCCCTTGTAAAGGTCAGTCATGAAACCAGTGTTTCTTAATAACTAACAGTTGTATAGTATTTAATCTTGTTACCTCCCCTTATAGTTACTAAATTTAGTTTTGATAACTAATGTACTATCAAATTAGATAAACTCTTTAAGCCCGTAATTATATTTACATTATTTTTTCCACATAATATTTTTAGTACCCCTGCGGGTAGACGACTCATATCTTTTTACCCGGTGAATTAAAACCCACACATTACTAATATAAGTTAATCATATTTGAATGTCCTACACACTAATATTAATTTTAAGTAATTACTTATTTATTTTAGAAAGATAATTACTTAGATATAAACAACAAAAAAATTAAGAGTTGATTTTTTTTTTTGGCAAAAAATACGTTTCTGTCTGGAAAATTGATGATTAGAATTACTTTTCATGAGTTCTTATTCAAAGAAAACGAAAATACGTCCATTTATCTACAATATCTTAGATCGGATTAGTCTTAATAAATATACTTTGATTTTGGTTAATTTTATAATGCGGCGACATAAAAGTTTAGACGCTGCCGCTAAACGGCATTTCGCAGTGTTAAAAAAAATGCTGTTTTTCGAGTTGTTTTACAGAAAAAAATTCTCTAAAATACAAAATCAATCTAAGGACCTACATAGCCTCTAGATGTGAGGTGTTCACCAGCAAGACCTACCTGCATGGCCTCTAGATGTGAGGTGTTTACCAGCAAGACCTACCTGCATGGCCTCTAGATGTGAGGTGTTCACCAGCAAGACCTACCTGCATGGCCTCTAGATGTGAGGTGTTCACCAGCAAGACCTACCTGCATGGCCTCTAGATGTGAGGTGTTCACCAGCAAGACCTACCTGCATGGCCTCTAGATGTGAGGTGTTCACCAGCAAGACCTACCTGCATGGCCTCTAGATGTGAGGTGTTCACCAGCATGACCTACCTGCATGGCCTCTAGATGTGAGGTGTTCACCAGCATGACCTACCTGCATGGCCTCTAGATGTGAGGTGTTCACCAGCAAGACCTACCTGCATGGCCTCTAGATGTGAGGTGTTCACCAGCATGACCTACCTGCATGGCCTCTAGATGTGAGGTGTTCACCAGCATGACCTACCTGCATGGCCTCTAGATGTGAGGTGTTCACCAGCAAGACCTACCTGCATGGCCTCTAGATGTGAGGTGTTCACCAGCAAGACCTACCTGCATGGCCTCTAGATGTGAGGTGTTCACCAGCAAGACCTACCTGCATGGCCTCTAGAGCCTGTTCTAGCCCTGATCTCTCATCACTTGTTTTGTCTGTGTTTTTGATCAGCTCCTGAGGACAAAGGGAAATAACAGGCAAATGACAAGGTTTCATAACAGCAGAGCATGATGTTATCTGTGTTTTTGATCAGCTCCTGAGGACAAAGGGAAATAACAAGCAAATGACAAGGTTTCATAACAGCAGAGCATGATGTTATCTGTGTTTTTGATCAGCTCCTGAGGACAAAGGGAAATAACAAGCAAATGACAAGGTTTGATCACAACAGCAGAGCATGATGCTTCACTTCATGAGGAGCAGCATGTGTTTACCACTAAATAATCTCTACACATAGCTAATACAACAGGTATAAAAACTGATGATATGCCTTTAAGTGCACTAAAAGTAAAACCTTTCTTTAAGTATAATGGTAAATGGGTTGGTGCCTTAAATGTGTTGGAAGATTAGATGAGAGCCCAGTTGATTGAGGAAAACTTACCCCCATCAACAGGTGGTATTTGAGACAACTTATCCCATCAACAGGTGGTATTTGAGGACAACTTACCCCATCAACAGGTGGTATTTGAGACAACTTACCCCATCAACAGGTGGTATTTGAGGACAACTTACCCCCATCAACAGGTGGTATTTGAGGACAACTTACCCCCATCAACGGGTGGTATTTGAGGACAACTTACCCCCATCAACAGGTGGTATTTGAGGACAACTTACCCCCATCAACAGGTGGTATTTGAGGACAACTTACCCTCATCAACAGGTGGTATTTGAGACAACTTACCCCATCAACAGGTGGTATTTGAGGACAACTTACCCCATCAACAGGTGGTATTTGAGACAACTTACCCTCATCAACAGGTGGTATTTGAGAACCCTCTGCATTGGCACATGTAACAAGTCCCGCAACCTAAATTTTCCATCATTAGCTCGACGTTCACATTCCTGGGGAAAGATGAAACATTAGCTTCTCCAGGTTAATATTAAAGTATCAGATCAATCAAGAACTGACCAATATCTGCAGCTAGTTAAAAAACAAAACTTACCAGTACTTTAATCCGAAGTTGCTCATTCTCACAGATTTTGTCAATTTTCCCCTGCGCCTGTGGCAGGTTGGAGCAGTAGGCCCCGTAGACCAGAAGCCTGGGCTTAAACTGGATGAAGACGTCAGCCAGCCTGGGCACGTGTTCACTCACTGACTTGGTCAGCTTCTCATACAGCTCTTTGTGGACCTCTGCCAGTTTCTGAAAACAGGTGGCAAATCATGCTGTAGAGAATAACTCAATCAGGTCCAATGTTTGTATTGCTTGGTGAGTCCACCCTCACCTGTTGTAACTACAGGCATGCAGCCTTACCTCAATATGAGCAAAAACTATATCTCTGTCACTCTGAGCTAAAACATTTTGTAATGGTCGGATAAAGTGCTGGGGAGACAAAAATGGTCAACAATCAAATCTGTTGCCAGGTTATAGTGTGCATAAGTAGAAATTTTTTTATTAACCTAATGTTGCATAGATTCTAGCACCCTTACACTATTAATTAATGTAAAGACTAGCACCCCTACCCTTAAAAATGTCTAGCCTAGCACCTTTTCTTACCTCTATGATCATCTTGAGTGCTACATTGTAATTGTTTTCTGTCTCCAAAAGTTCCTTGATGCAGTGGTCTCTTTTGGTCAGTGGCTCTGCTGAGGGCTGGGTCAAAGAGTGACAGGAGTGTGAATTTGTGACATTTGACTGACAACAGTATCACACCTGACTTACAACAGTATGACATCTGACTAACAACAGTATGACAGACACCTGACTGACAATGGCCAGCTATCTTACAAGACTTACTACAGAACTCTTCCTGTGCCGCAGTAGATCGTCATAGATCTTCTCCTCATCCTCCTGGTACACTGTATCATATATATCCTCTTGGTCCTCTATGTCGTTTTCTCTGAAATGTCATACACATTTGTTATAGCACCCATAGTGTCATACACACATGTCATACACACATTTGCTATAGCACTGGTAGTGTCATACATACATTTGTTATAGCACTCGTAGTGTCATACACACATTTGTTATAGCACTCGTAGTGTCATACACACATTTGTTATAGCACTCGTAGTGTCATACACACATTTGCTATAGCACTCGTAGTGTCGTACAAACATTTGCTATAGCACTCGTAGTGTCATAAACACATTTGTTATAGCACTCGTAGTGTCATACACACATTTGTTATAGCACTCGTAGTGTCATACACACATTTGTCATACACAGCTTTGTCAATGACACAAGTATAAGACTGATTTTTTAACTTACAAAACATTAGAGTGACTAGGATAAACTGTAATTGAAACCTTTGGTTGACCTTATTTAACTTCAAGTTTGACCTAATACAGAACCCATTTTTGTCAGATTAATATAATTAGCTTCATTCAGTTCTCTTCCTATCATAAAAAACATGTTTCTTTAGTAGCTTATTTTTATTGCTGGCTGGGTTTGTGTCATAATGCTTTGGTAACTTATTTTACTAGCTATTTTAGACACTGAAAGTGTGAGCTCTTATGGTATGAATGGCACACTGCTCTAACATGTCTTTAGATAAATCTTCTCCACTTTGATCTCATAAGTCCCCCCAGACCAAATAGATCTGGTAGTTACTTGAGAGCTCAGCAACCAACCTGTTGTATGGGTATGACAGGAATGTTAGACCCCCACCCCAGGAAAAGAATGTGACTAACACAGTAAGTGACAGCCATTATTTGAACAGGGAAGTAAATCAGATCCTGATCCCCCGGTGAACACAACTTATCTCCTCATATGCAGATGATCTCTCCAACATGCCCAGGCTCTACCACCATACCTCTTCATTATACATACATTATGTATCATGTTCTCAATCATTTCTAGGCTCTACCTAATTGTGATGTTTCACGGAATGTCTAGTGGATTGTTTTGTTATGGAATGTCTAGTGGATTGTTTTGTTATGGAATGTCTAGTGGAATGTTTTGTTATGGAATGTCTAGTGGATTGTTTTGTTATGGAATGTCTAGTGGATTGTTTTGTTATGGAATGTCTAGTGGATTGTTTTGTTATGGAATGTCTAGTGGATTGTTTTGTTATGGAATGTCTAGTGGATTGTTTTGTTATGGAATGTCTAGTGGATTGTTTTGTGATGGAATGTCTAGTGGATTGTTTTGTTATGGAATGTCTAGTGGATTGTTTTGTTATGGAATGTCTAGTGGATTGTTTTGTTATGGAATGTCTAGTGGACTGTTTTGTTATGGAATGTCTAGTGGATTGTTTTGTTATGGAATGTCTAGTGGATTGTTTTGTTATGGAATGTCTAGAGGATTGTTTTGTTATGGAATGTCTAGTGGATTGTTTTGTTATGGAATGTCTAGTGGATTGTTTTGTTATGGAATGTCTAGTGGATTGTTTTGTTATGGAATGTCTAGTGGAATGTTTTGTTATGGAATGTCTAGTGGATTGTTTTGTTATGGAATGTCTAGTGGATTGTTTTGTTATGGAATGTCTAGTGGATTGTTTTGTTATGGAATGTCTAGTGGATTGTTTTGTTATGGAATGTCTAGTGGATTGTTTTGTTATGGAATGTCTAGTGGATTGTTTTGTGATGGAATGTCTAGTGGATTGTTTTGTTATGGAATGTCTAGTGGATTGTTTTGTTATGGAATGTCTAGTGGATTGTTTTGTTATGGAATGTCTAGTGGACTGTTTTGTTATGGAATGTCTAGTGGATTGTTTTGTTATGGAATGTCTAGTGGATTGTTTTGTTATGGAATGTCTAGAGGATTGTTTTGTTATGGAATGTCTAGTGGATTGTTTTGTTATGGAATGTCTAGTGGATTGTTTTGTTATGGAATGTCTAGTGGATTGTTTTGTGATGGAATGTCTAGTGGATTGTTTTGTTATGGAATGTCTAGTGGATTGTTTTGTTATGGAATATCTAGTGGACTGTTTTGTTATGGAATGTCTAGTGGATTGTTTTGTTATGGAATGTCTAGTGGATTGTTTTGTTATGGAATGTCTAGTGGATTGTTTTGTTATGGAATGTCTGGATTGTTTTGTTATGGAATGTCTACTGGATTGTTTTGTTATGGAATGTCTAGTGGATTGTTTTGTTAAGGAATGTCTAGTGGATTGTTTTGTTATGGAATGTCTAGTGGAATGTTTTGTTATGGAATGTCTAGTGGAATGTTTTGTTATGGAATGTCTAGTGGATTGTTTTGTTATGGAATGTCTAGTGGAATGTTTTGTTATGGAATGTCTGAAATGTTTTGTTATAGAATTGTTTGTTAATGTTCTCTTAGCCTGAACTACTAGGTAGCAATAGCGTGTGCTGTCATTGTATGTACTGGTGGGTGTAGTTGGTGTGTGTAATAGTGAGGTTGATTATGTGTGTGTGTAATGGTGGGTTGATGTTTGTGTGTATGTTAATGTTATGGTGTGTTGATTATGTTTGAGTGCAATTATGGGTTGATTATGTGTGTATGTTATGGTGGGTTGATTATGTTTGAATGCAATGGTGGGTTGATTATGTACCTGGGTGGGTGGTAACAACCGCCCCCCCCCCAGCCTAGGCTTGACAGCATCATGTACTTCCTGTATGAATTCTATGAGTGATGAACCCTAATACTTCTATCCCTTACCCTACTCCTAATGAACAGGAAGAGTTTTTATTGACCTCAGTCACACAAACCCAATGTAAATACGCTGCCTATCATACATTGTATGTAAATAAAGGCAAAATTCAGTGCCTGAAGTTACTTCCTGGTTTAGCTGGCCTTGTAATCAGAGTTGTGGATCATGTAACAATGTCTGACATTAACTACCTCCCCTGATCTCAATGTCTGACATCAACTACCTCCCCTGATGTCTGACAGCAACTACCTCCCCTGATCCCAATGTCTGACAGCAACTACCTCCCCTGATGTCTGACAGCAACTACCTCCCCTGATGTCTGACAGCAACTACCTCCCCTGATCTCAATGTCTGACAGCAACTACCTCCCCTGATAGTATATTATTCTATCAACATTTTAATGATTAGTACCATAGTTTTTCACACAGCATGCAATGCAAACAACAACAACCATGCAGACATGTGCAGTAAAGAAATAACACACAACAGGTCATGTCATATATATCAACAGGAAATTTCATCAATGAGAAAATATATAGATAGTTGTGGTTTTCTTAATTATTAGCTAAACTTCTCTTTGGTGTTGGTTAATCATATTATTTTAAAAACTCAATTTTTTTATTGTGGCTTAAAAATTTATTATATTATTTTAAAAAACTGATGTTTGTATATGCCTGACACGTATATACTTACTGTACACTGTCAGTGAGCACCAAAATGGTGTCCAGATGTGTACAGCATTGTGTGAGCTGTACACGTGTTTGACATGTGGGACTTAAAAGAAAAACTCACATAGCTAGGTCCTGGAGGTTGCCATATATATCCTCATCATGCTCTGTATCTGAGTGCCTTGAATCTGGGGGGAAGCCACTGACAGACAGACAGACACACAGCATTAGCAAGATGCAATCAACAACACTGCTCATGTTAAAACAATATGTAACACACAAAAAAAGCTGTAGGAATGAGAAGGGTGAGATACATTTTACAGAAACTTGGTAGTGACGACTTGAGGGACGGATCTAGTGGGTTGTTGACGTCTTTTGTTTACTTCAAATCTATGGTTATAGTTCTTTGCACTGTGAGCAAAGAACTATAACCATAGAGTTGACTGGGATAATCACAGAAACCTATGTTGACAAATCTGCAACTTCTGGAATAAGCCCACCAATGGCTGATATAAGCCCACCAATGGCTGATATAAGCCCACCAATGGCTGATATAAGCCCACCAATGGCTGATATAAGCCCACCAATGGCTGATATAAGCCCACCAATGGCTGATATAAGCCCACCAATGGCTGATATAAGCCCACCAATGGCTGATATAAGCCCACCAATGGCTGATATAAGCCCACCAATGGCTGATATAAGCCCACCAATGGCTGATATAAGCCCACCAATGGCTGATATAAGCCCACCAATGGCTGATATAAGCCCACCAATGGCTGATATAAGCCCACCAATGGCTGATATAAGCCCACCAATGGCTGATATAAGCCCACCAATGGCTGATATAAGCCCACCAATGGCTGATATAAGCCCACCAATGGCTGATATAAGCCCACCAATGGCTGATATAAGCCCACCAATGGCTGATATAAGCCCACCAATGGCTGATATAAGCCCACCAATGGCTGATATAAGCCCACCAATGGCTGATATAAGCCCACCAATGGCTGATATAAGCCCACCAATGGCTGATATAAGCCCACCAATGGCTGATATAAGCCCACCAATGGCTGATATAAGCCCACCAATGGCTGATATAAGCCCACCAATGGCTGATATAAGCCCACCAATGGCTGATATAAGCCCACCAATGGCTGATATAAGCCCACCAATGTCTGGAATAAGCCACCAATAACTATTGCTTTGATGAGTAAGTGTCAGGGAAGTATGTCAGTATGGGGAAGAATTATGTGAGGACATTCCTGCTACACAATTCCTGTTTAACATGATTTTAGTAGACCTCAAGTTGATAGCTGACCCCATTAGTGACTAGATCATGTTGATAGTTGACCCCTATAGTGACCAGACCAACTCAAGTTGATAGCTAAACCTTCTAGTGAGCAGATCAAGTTGATAGCTGACCCCTCTAGTGACTAGATCATGTTGATAGTTGACCCCTATAGTGACCAGACCAACTCAAGTTGATAGCTGACCCCTCTTGTGAGCAGATCAACTCAAGTAGATAGTTGACCCCTCTAGTGATAAAACAAGTCTACACACATTCAATAAACTGACTCACTGACTAGCCCTAATCCTTCCCTTCAATAAGTGCCCCCGCCCACCCTACTAATTATGCCCACCCCCATGCCCTAATTAGCATGGTAATGTCAGGTGTCTCCAGTTAGCACTAATCAAATCAAGCCTAGTGCCCTTTGCTAGCATTAACCTGAATTAATCCTTGCCCCAGGGAGCTTTGTTTAATTCACTTTACCATGTCTCTATATAGACTACATACACAAATAGAATTCAAGATAGAAGAGCATTCAAGTGAATGCTTCATTTTAAAAAACAAAACAAGCTTGAGCTAATCAGTTCTATGTTCCACTTTATCTGATCATTCTATTTTTTCATGTAACAACAGCAGGTTATTTCAAGTGAAAAAAAAAAAACAAGAATTCTAGGATGTTAGACTGAAAACATAGAATCTCCATGCATCTCTTGTTAAAGGATTGTTCTATCTCTGGCATGCTTTGATGCACCAACACACAAAGTTGTGGTTCAGCTTGAGGGAACACTCTACTACTTCACACCAGCTGTTTCTACACCAACAACACCAGATACAAGTTCTAGAGTCAATATTGAAAACATTCTAAACCTTAATGAAAACTCTAAAACAAGAACACACAGGTAATAAATCTGAAGAATGAGAGTGGTGACAAAATGTAAACAAAGTTCTCCATGCACCAAAGAATCATGCTTCAAGTACATTAGTAGTGAACAGCTTGTACATCCATTCAATTCTACACATGGGTTTAATCTGTTAATGGTGAACACAGCTCCATGACAACCACAAATGCAGGAGGGTCAGATGGGACTTACGTTGCCAAGAGTTCCAGATCATTGTAGTAAACCTCATGCCGTTCATGAGTGGCATTTTGGTTGTGGAAACCCCTTCAATGGTGGACAAGCCAAGTAGAAACAGTACATTCATCAAGTGCTAATTACAGTCTAATCAAGTTCATATCCTCATCTTTTGACATTTTATTTTTATTTAAACTCCAAAATAAGACTACATTAGCAGCTATAACAATAGTAGATGAGTTTCTGTGTCTAAGAAGCACCACAAAGAAATAATCCCCCTTTAAAATACGGAAAAAAACTCAGAGCATTTAAAAAAAAGGACACCTTACCTAAATTTAACTTGAGATAATTTACTTTTGGACAAGCGAGATAGAGTATCCAGTACCTGTAAAAAAAAATAACATTGTCAGCGACACAAGACCACAAATTATGAAACTTGTCAGACCACAAACAATGAGAACAGTTTTGTACAACTTCCCAACCTTCATTTTTGCCCAACCTCTACCGTTCCATTGAGTTCAAATATTTCCATAGTATTACAACTTTTTTCCCACGTCATTTGTTAACATTGTATCAAGTAATAAAGCATTTAGTGCATTAACAATCAGCTAATGTTAGAATTCAAGACAAACTTTTTGTTTACTGGTCATTTGGTTTCTTAAGATGTTGGTCTAATAGCAAGCACAGATAAACAAACAACTTACCCTTTTAAAGTCCTTGACATCAAACAAATCATTGGGTTTAAACAAATATTGTTGATCTATGCCAAAGATACTGGTACATGTCTGAAGGAAGGTTCGTATATTTTTCATACACAAAAACTGGTGAGCAAACAAGATAAATCAATGAAAACAAAAATTCTGCACTTTTTAGTTTAGCAACCATGAGCTTTATTGACTAAACCATGCCGACTCCTCAGGCTTTATTAAAATTCACCAGGAATTTAACATATTTCTAAAAACATAATTTAATTTAATACTAGACGTTTTAAATGTTGATTAGCATGAAATGAAATATTGTAAAAAGTTTACAAAAAACACACACAGTAGCATTTGTTTCACATTAGCAGTTACAATTATTAAAAATTATAAAACCTAATAAATGTAGATGGGAATTTAAAAAAAAACATTGGATAAAATTAATAGGAAACCTCTTACAAAACTGATATACAAGTGACCAGCGTCTCAAATGTGTACAGAAAAACTTTTTCTCAATTTTTAGTGACATGAAATGAGTTACTCAGGTTTTTTTTTAAATTAATTATTTCAGTCAGTTTGGGCCTTGATTTTTGTGTTTTGACAGTTTTTATCTAATAGGGCCTAATGTATCTTTGCAGGGAAATAGATCAAATTAGGAAATAATACAGTTAAAAATGGAATGAGAACCACAACACATATGCCGACACAAAATTTGAAAAGAAATAGCCTATTGATTAGAATGGACGCGAGCGAGAAAGTATTCAAGAGGCCCATTAATTAATTTAAAAATCATGCATGGCGTATTTACAATTAATATGGTTATAAAATCCTGTCTGGTTTGTTTTCAGACTTTACTAAAGATTGGATGTATTTGATGTTTTTAATATTTTCGGTAACTAAATAAAAAATTTAAAAAATGCAAAAACAATTTGGTTTTCACGTGTAATGGTGACATAAACAATGGCATCCTGCTCTTTGATAGGCTGCCATAAATTTTATTGTACACATTGTAAGCGAAAAAAACGGAAAACTAGGTCATTGGGTTTAAATTTGCATTGTTTTTTAAAAACTTTATCTGCAAAGTTTTGTAAACAAATAGTTATTGATCACGGGGTTACTTACTGTACAGCCAATCAATATTTGACTTAAGAAAGTGAAACATCCGGTTATAACTTAGGCTTGATGAAAATAAATAGAAATGTAGCCTTAAACTCAACAAATGATTTTCAAGTTCTCTGGATTTGTAACTTTTATAGCATTGATTCTAAAAAATTTAAAAATTCTGAATTGGGTCGCTTTGTTTGCTAAATCTAAAACAGCATGTTTTTATTCCATGTCAACAACATGGCGGAAGGATTCTCGTCAACTCACGCGCCTCCATTGAAGTTGAAATCACCCTAGGGCCTTTGATGAATCAATCACCTGAAATACGAACACTAAACCACCTATACTAAACTATATCAGAGTATATCAGCATCATAACCATATTGTAGTGAATATAATTAGGGATTTTGGTAAAAAAACACTAATCATCATAAAAAAATAAAAATTACATATTCTTGTAGAGCTCACCTAAATGAAAACAAAACAAAAAAGATTTTCTGTCTAGCTCAAATAGTTTTTTTTAGCGAATTTTTTTGTGAGGGGTGGAATCCCCTTGCTTTTGCATTGGCCAATTGTGACAAGTCATGGTATACCTGAATAAATTGAGCATAGTTATTTTACTTGCAGTTGTATTTTGTTCATATTTGCAGAGTTTAACTAGAATAATATATATAACTTGTAAATGCTGTTGAAATGAATAAAAATAATACAGAAGTTATATTTTTGTGTTGGCTTCCTCCCATAACCCCAAAAAACTGTGTGCTGCGCAAATATGAAAATGTTTCTAAAGCCATATTTTATATAAATACAGCAAATGAAAGAACTACAAAGTTAGAAATCTAAAGTAAATGACTTGAACACTGTTATGTGCATATAATTGCCTCATTATTTTGGGCAGGTGAAGTAGAGTCCATCTTTAAGCCATTTTGTTATAAAACTGCTGCGCAAATATGAAAATGTTTCTAAAGCAATATTTTATATAAATACAGTGAATGAAAGAACTCCATAGTCAGAAATCTAAAGTAAATGACTTGAACACTGTAATGTGTCTATAACTGCCTTGTTATTTCGGGCAGGTGAAGTTGAGTCCATATAAAAGCCATTTTGTCTAAAGTGAAATGAAGTTATCAGATCAATGTTTTTATGTGTGAATTGTGTATGGATTCTGATTTTCAGCATATAACTATATCTAAGGGTAAGTAGAACTTGAATACTTAAAATTACAGTTAGCACAATGCTAGTGTATAGCAGCACAGGTAACCTAGAGTCCTAGATCTAGGTCTGACTCTTGTCAGTCTTGTCTGACAAAATTGGATTTTAGGAAAAACATATTCTGCAAAACTAGAACTAGAGCTGAAAAAATTAAAGATGGGTAGGCCTATGTAAATATAATTTGAAATAAAAATTAGGAGATTTGTTTGCACATGCCATAAGAATGCTGTTATTAGTTGATCAAACTTACAGGCCGGAAGATCGGGATAAAAAAATTTAACAATGGTGGCAGTGTGACCTACATACAGTGACTACGTTCGGAGGAGTATAACTAATGTCGGAGTCAAAATATCCAAAAACAAATTTCATTTCCACATACTTAAGATATGTCTGATCAGTAATCTACTCTCACCTAGAATAATCTTTTAAAAAATCGTGATTCCAACGTATTTGAAACTAGCCTTCATACAGGGGGAAGACCAAAGCAGAGACAGTGTGCAATCAGATCGCTAAGCCATCAAAACAATGGGAAAACCATTCTACTTTTCATTTAACATTAGGAAATGACCTTTTAAACTTAATTAATTACCATAAATTAAAACCTTATTAGTATGCAAAACCAAATCTCGTGCGCCCGGTATCAGAAAGTAATGGGAGATTTCGGGTCATGTTTTTACCGCGATCTCGGCCGATACCGACAACCCTAATATAATAATAATTGATTAGAGCCAAATGTCACACCAAATTAATAGTGTGTGACACGCATGTACGTAGAAATAGTGCTTGCTGCTCGCCACTCAGCCTCCCATTTGGGCATTTTCATTGCTGTGCAGAGCAGACACTTCAAAAAATTTAAATTAAATTCTTAAATGTAGAGTCTAGGAACGGAGCACCTAAAAAACATGCAAAAATTGTTAAGTTCCTTTTTCACTTAATTTAAAAAAAAAATTCTTCCCCCTAATTATGCAGAATTAAACAGTCAGCCCAACTAACAATAACAAACAACTCATAAAAGACTATTAAAAGATAAAACTGAAACAAACCTGTGACATCTGTGGACGGGAACTGAAATCTTTCATGTCGATGCAGCCAGGTTTTAAAGTATTTAAAAGGTGACATAGTAATACACCGTCTCTCAAAGCTTGAGCTAAATCGAAAGCAGTTGCATCTGGCTTTGTTGCTTTGTGATCCCCAGGTAAAATTTGACACCCTACAAGCCATTCTACACAATTTCTCCATTCGTCGGCAGCCATTTTGGAATTCTCTTCCCTGTTGATGAGAGATGCTCTGGTTACTAATCTAGATCTAGTATTGCACAAACTTTAATATACCCATAACAATCTCTTCAATTTATATTTTTAATTAATATTTGACCAAAATTTATTAAGAATATATATCTATATATTTTTAAAGGTCTGAATACGTTTTAAATATTGGCAGACGTCCTAAATTTATTCGAAACTAATACAACCCTGTCTTTTAAAGAATAATTTTCTTCCGGGTTCGCACTTTTATCCCGCCAGATAATTATGAATATTCACTGTTGGCTCCTACTTTTGGCCGATTACTTATTGTTATAGATCTAGATCTAGATCTAGATCTAGTAGTACATGTAAGGAATTTTTTTTTAATCTTTAAATGCAATGGGTACAGATTGTTTTCTGGTAAACAAATGCTCTTTAGTATCACAATCATATAAATCATTAATTTAGATTCAATATTGGCTAATTACTAATTATTAATTTATTACCCCCTACAACAAATTTTAATTTCAATCATAACTTTAAGAATCGAACGTAGGATTTTTTTTTTCTATTTTACAAATTTTTTTTTTTGCAAAATATTTAATATAAGCCTGTTCTAGCACGATAATCTGATAAAATAAAATAAAAAAAAAAATAGTGAAATCATACTATTTCTTCACCCACAATTTCCTTAAAGTCAGAGTTTCTTCCAGGCATCTCTTCGGGGCCCCCCCGAAAAATTTTTACCGCCCCCCCCCCCCCCGAACGAAATGAAATTTATATAATTTATATAGAAAATATATACTTTTAACACCGTCCGCCCCCCCCCCCCCCCCCGAAGAAAGTTTACCGCCCCCCCGAAGATTTCCAGTGCCCCCCGGGAGAAAAAAGTCTGGAAGAAACACTGCTTAAAGTTACTTCACCATTTCTCACCCCACCGCTGGAAATCGCTGAAACATTGATACAGAACTAAAAAGTTGATATAATACTTGTCTATGAAATGTCATCTACCTTGCTGTAACGGTACTCAAGTTATCATGTTTATCTGTATACGAGAAAGTAAAATTACAGAACAACGAAAATACAAAGCTAGCAGGAAGCATACCACTCAGCCCTCCCCACCCAGCTGAAGGTTCTTGTAGTATGTATATATCTCAAAGGTGACTATAATAGATTGACGATAGAAGCATGTGGTTGTATATAACGTTTATTGGGTCTAACTACATGAAGGTACCACACAGAGAGGACGGAAGTACAATGCACAAGGGACATCACTCATAATAATAACAACATTATAAATATAACTAATACAAGAAGAGTGAGTTCCCTTGACCTCACAATTATCTCAATCTATTACATCCCTTTACCCTTAGAACACAATAACACATCTCTCAATAGAACAATTGATAGTATCCTAAAATCACCAATTATATTGTAACATGAACACTATGGTAGATTACATCCTTACAAACAATGCACAATATGTTACAACATAATTAAAATACAAAACAATAATGTCAAAGTCCTTTTGACCTTTAAAATCATAGGTCTAACTTATTTGGGACTTTGATTGTCCTGCTTGACCTTCTCAGTGGCTTTTGATTTGGTGACTCAAGATTCTGACCATCTGGATTCTCTATCTCAGGAGGTCTAGGATTTAAATCATTAACTCCAGAATTTACATTTTCTGACTCCATACAACTTGGTTCACTCATATCAACAGAACTTGGTTGTGGAACAAACTGAGTTGGTGTGAACTGATCAGATTTGGTGGGATTGACAGATTCACACTTATTATCTGCACAAGTTATTTTTAACTGGTCTGCATGTCTACGGACAATAAGTCCATCATTTGTTTTTACTTTATAAGACACAGGTCCTGTACATTGAACAATTTGACCTGGTATCCATTTTTCCTTTCTCCCATAATTTCTTAGATACACATTCTCATTAACACCAAATTCTCTTTCAATGCATGAGTTGTCATGATTTAATGGAGCTATTTTTGAATTGGCATCTGAAAGTATTAAATGGCAAAAAATCTTTTTTTTTTTTTTCCTTTTGATGTTACCCTTTTAGTTTCTGTAAGTGCTAATGATGTTAGCAAAGTTGTTTGATGATCACATTCCTTCTTACTAATGTATTCTCTTTAAAACATTTGAAATTGCCATATCACCATAATCATTTATTAAGTTACAAATACTTTGTTTAGGCAACTCTGACTGATAATGGACTGCATCTTCTCCATCTTTTATATTATCTTCACAAAGGGTTTTAATTTCTTATTTTATATGGCCTTAAGTCATCATTCACAGACTCTTCAGGCCAACCATTCAAACAGTGCTCATATACTTTTATTAAGCACTCATCTTTTTGTGTTTCTCTTTTAAATATCATTCACATTTATATTGGAGTTATCCATGATAGTGAAGAGAACAAATACATCTTCTGGTACATAGTTCAGGCTTTGGTTTTTTAAAGGTAATCTACTAAGGCTATCTGCACTATTCTCAGATCCAGGTTTGTATTTCAATTCATAATTGTATGCAGTTAGTGTGATAGCCCATCTTTGAATTCTTGGTGAGGCATGCTCAGGTAGGGTTTTGTTTTCTCCAAATAAACCTAGCAATGGTTTATGATCTGTAAAGATGGTGAACTTCCTACCAAACAGAAACTTATGAAATTTCTTAACACCAAAAATGATGCCTAAGCCTTCCCTATCTAACTGAGAATAATTTTTCTCAGCCTGGTTCAAAGATCTACTGGCAAAAGCAATGGGTCTGTCACCCTTCTCATCCATGTGGGACAAGACTGCTCCTACACCATCTGGTGAAGCATCACATGTTAATATAAGTCTTTTTCCTGGGTCATAGTGAGTTAGTAAGGTGTCAGAAGACAAAGCCTCTTTTGCTGTATTAAAAGCAGTATCTTGTTGTTTACCCCAGTGCCAAGTTGCATTTTTCTGTAGCAGCTTGTACAGTGGTGATAGTTTACCAGACAGATTCCCTATGAACTTTGCATAGTAATTTATCAAGCCCAAAAAAGCTCTTAGTTGTTGGGTATTTTCAGGTTTGGGTGCTTCTTTAATGGCTTTTGTTTTCTCAGGTTGAGGTCTGATACCTTGCTTGCTTAATATATAACCAAGAAAACTAATTTCTGTCAGCATGAATTGACATTTATCTTTGTTTATCTTTAAACCTTTTTCACCAACAATTTCAATACTTTACCAAGTGTTTTAAGATGTTCAGTGTCATTCTTACCAGTTATGTACACATTGTCAAAGTACACACAAACATTTGGAATATCCTTAAAAATACTGTCCATGACAGCTTGGAAAATTCCAGGGCTAGATGATATGCCAAAACATAGTCTTTCATATTGGTAGAGTCCTTTATGTGTGTTTATTGTCGTATAGACTTTTGAATCTGGATGCAGTTCTAGTTGAGTGTAAGCATGACTAAAGTCTAATTCAGTGAATTTGTCTCCTCCTGCCAAATTCAAAGAGATTTCCTCAATGTTAGGTATAGGGTACCTATTTAGCTCTATTTGCTTATTCAGTGTAGTTTTGTAGTCTCCACAAATTCTTATAGAACCATCCTTCTTTAACACTGGCACAATGGGCGACGCCCAATCGGAATAGTCTACCTTCTTTATGATGCCATTAGATTCCAATCTACTTAGCTCATTTTCAATTTTATTCCTCATTGCATAAGGTGGAACTCTAGCTTTGCAGTATCTTGGATTTGTGTCTTTAATGCTTAACTTCACTGTTCTATCATTTAGTAATCCAGAGTTACCAAAAACACATTTATTTTCAGATATAACTTTATCTAGTGAAGTAAGACTAGATTCTTTTACATTCTTCAATGAACAAATACTCTCCCAATTTAACTTAAGATCACTTAACCAGTTCCTACCTAGTAATGGTGGTCCATTTCCTTCAACCACAAGAAGAGGAAGTTTAACACTTTGACCATTATAACTTACATGAACCATACACTCTCCTATTACCGGAACATTGTCACCAGTGTATGTTGTTAGACACTTGTGACATGGCTGTAGAGGCACTGATCCTCCTGTGACAGCGTCAAAGTCCTTCTTTGTGATGACTGTTAGAGATGCTCCAGTGTCAAGTTGGAAGCTGATGCTCTTACTGTTGATGTTAACTTGTACATTGATGGTAGCATGACTTATTGATTTCACAGAGAATAGGTTGAAATCCGGCTGCGAATCAGTTTGAGCATTTTCACAGGTAGAGTGGTTCATTGGTTGGGTTAGGTAGTCTTGGTGAGAGTTAACATAGTGCTGCTTTTGGTTGCGGTACTGTCTTGACTGGCTAGATTTAGCAACAGACGAAGACTTTGCAAAGCAGGCCTTGGCAATGTGACCTTGCTTACTGCACTTATAACAAGTTGCAGACTTGAACTTGCACCGATGAGATGCATGGGGACCTTTGCATCGATGACATTTTTGATAATTATTACTAGATTTAGATCTAGGATTTGAACGAGCATAAGTTGGAATGCTCTGATGGGGTTGATGTTTATTGACTAACCTGCTGTTTACTGCATGGATCTCTGAAGGTGCTAAAGATCTCGCCGCATCAGATGACTGCTGGAATGAAATTGCAAGTTGTATTGCTTTTTCTAATGTTAGATCTGACTCGAGCAGCAACTTTCTTTGAATATCAGGGCTGTTTACACCTGTCACAAACTTTTCACATAGTCTGTCAGACAGCGTGTCTCCGAATTCACAAAATCTACTTAAATGACGTAAAGCAGCAACATATTCTGATATTGACTCGTTTGGTTGACGAGTCCTACTGTCAAATCTAGCTCGACATAGAAACTTTGATGGGGTAGGCGCATGGTGGTCTGTTAGCAATTTGCTCAGCTCGTTAAAGCTCTTGGTAGTTAGACTAGCTGGTGCGCATAAGTCCTTTAGTAGCCTAAATTGTTGAGGCCCTATGACTGTTAACAAAACAGCTCTCTTTTTGGCTTCTATCGTCACGTCGTTTGCTTCTAGGTAAAAGCTTAACCTATCTAGGTAATCCTGAATGATTTCATCATTCGAATCAAATTGTTTTATTTGGCCATACAGCGCCATTATTCTAGAAATACTTAGCCAATAAGCTCTAGCAAACCTCTTTTTTGCGTAAGTAGGTGCTCTTTCTAGTAGATCTTTATCCTCGTCGCCAGATATAATAGATTGACGATAGAAGCATGTGGTTGTATATAACGTTTATTGGGTCTAACTACATGAAGGTACCACACAGAGAGGACGGAAGTACAATGCACAAGGGACATCACTCATAATAATAACAACATTATAAATATAACTAATACAAGAAGAGTGAGTTCCCTTGACCTCACAATTATCTCAATCTATTACAGTGACTAAGCATTTTTATAATATATAAACTTTGGAGATAATCCAGGTCAGATGGTAGAGCTAACCACAAATTTATGACTAAAGCCTTCACACAAAACTTGAACAGCTCCAGGTCAGATGGTAGAGCTAACCACAAATCTATGACTAAAGCCTTCACACAAAACTTGAACAGCTCCAGGTCAGATGGTAGAGCTGACCCAAAATATGTGACTAAAGCCTTCACACCAGTGGCGGAACTAGAAAAAAAGGGCCACCCCGCAAAGAAATTTTTTGGGCCCCATATATATATATATATATATATATATATATATATATATATATATATATATATATATATATATATATATATATATATATATATATATATATATATATATATTTATATATATATATATATATATATATATATATATATATATATATATATATATATATATATATATATATAATATACAAAGTACGAAAATGCCAACATAGATTAGTCATTTCGGGATTGTTCGAGTTTTAAAAAAAATTCTTAGTTTTGATAAAAACATTAAAAAAACTAGTTACAACAACAAGTCATTAGCATGAGTGCTATTATTTATTAATCTGTTATGGTAAATCTCTGTTTTAATATAGATCTATGTTTTCTATGATGCTCCTGTAAGAAGGTAGGTCGAAAGAATATGAAGCATGAAAGCTTTGTATTTGCAATGGTTTCTTGCGTTATGTTTATGTTCATGTTTTGTTTTGGTATTTATATTATTAGTTTTAAATGCATTTCATTTTTATGACTTGTCATTCTTTACTATGTTTTTTTAAAATAATAACTAAGAGAAATAATTGCTGTTTAATTTTTTTAGTGCAAATCTATTAAAAGGTGCTTAAGAGCACACATATTCGACTATTTAAAAAAGGGAGATAAGTCATGGAAGTGGTTAGAACGTTTACCTATCTTTCACGCGATTGATTTATTTTCAAAAGAATTTTGCCGACAACAGCGTGTGTTTGATAGTAGGAGAAAGAGGACTCGGGATGGTGTCTATAGAATAAAGATAATTAAACCGTTTTTACAAAACACAACGATCAAGTCAAAAATGCAAGAAAATTATTTTTTTTTAGCTGTAAAAAAATTGATTATGGTCGGCTGTGGCCCCCTAAACGGCCCGGGCCCCCCGCATTGCGGGGTCTGGCGGCACTGTAGTTCCGCCCCTGCTTCACACAAAACGTGAACAGCTCCAGGTCAGAGGGTAGAGCTAACCACAAATCTATGACTAAAGCCTTCACACAAAACTTGAACAGCTCCAGGTCAGATGGTAGAGCTAACCACAAATCTATGACTAAAGCCTTCACACAAAACTTGAACAGCTCCAGATCAGATGGTAGAGCTAACCACAAATCTATGACTAAAGCCTTCACACAAAACTTGAACAACTCCAGGTCAGGTGGTAGAGCTAACCACAAATCTATGACTAAAGCCTTCACACAAAACTTGAACAGCTCCAGGTCAGATGGTAGAGCTAACCACAAATCTATGACTAAAGCCTTCACACAAAACTTGAACAACTCCAGGTCAGGTGGTAGAGCTAACCACAAATCTATGACTAAAGCCTTCACACAAAACTTGAACAGCTCCAGGTCAGATGGTAGAGCTAACCACAAATTTATGACTAAAGCCTTCACACAAAACTTGAACAGCTCCAGGTCAGATGGTAGAGCTAACCACAAATTTATGACTAAAGCCTTCACACAAAACTTGAACAGCTCAAATCCAATAAGACTCATCAATCAAGCTTTCACACACTTTAACAGCTTGGGGGATGGAGTGGTCTAGTGGTAGAGGGCTACACTGCTAACCCATAAGTCTCAAGTTTGAATCCGTGTTCAAGTTGGTAGACCGTCCCTGAGTCCACCCAATTCTGATGGGTACCTAACTCACGTTAGGGAAAGGTAAAGGCATCTGGACATAGTGCATAGTGCTGACCACACTGTCTTCATATGCCGAGGTCACAGAAACAAGTGAACTCTACTTCACTTGCCTTATAGACCGTCAGGTTTGAAAGGAAACTTTACTTTAACATCTCAAGTCCAATAAGACTCATCAATCAACATTTCACACAAGACAAAACAAAAATAAGCTAACAAGAAGTCATTTGAGATGAAGTTTGAGTTTAATTTTCTTAATGCACAATACTGTTGCTTGGTACCTAGATCACATGGATGTGATCCATACAGAATCACATCATCTCTCACCACCATCTTTGTACACACTTTACATTTACACAATCACAGATAACATCTGCAACATCTGGTCACATGACCAGGTGAGGGATGGACAGATATCTGGCTGATCTGGCTAAGTTACTTCAATAAATGGAACAATACTGGACTAGGATTTCCCGAGAATACAAAGAGCAGCAACTCAATCATTTGATGGCTTGGATTTAATATAGCAGTAGTCTGACCTGTGACCCAGCCCAAACTTTGAATTATCTAATTCAATCTAATGCCAAAGTTTAAAACAATGAGTTATCTAAATCAATCTAATGCCAAAGTTTAAAACAATGAGTTATCTAATGTAATCTAATGCCTTGGGTAAAGTTAAAAATGTGTACCATCTATCCCTTGAATGAGAAATAAATTAATAGAATTATAAAACAGGGTGAGCACTGTCCAGGATACATGAGCTAGAAAACTATTTCAAGGCTACCATTTCATTGCACTGCCAGTGATGTGAATAACTTTCTTTTATTATGCGAGACCTTCCAGGATAAAAATACTATTTGTCTTCATCCATGTCAGTGTATTGTCAGATTACATGAAATTCTCCTTCGAAGAATGACTTTTTTTTACAAATGTTTATACCTAAACCTGTGTTTGAAGAAAAATGAACATGCTGACAAAGAAAAAAAGTGAACACAATATTTGATAAGCATTGAATTGTGAGCTAATGTCTACCTTTGTCTGTTAATAATGGGGAAGAAAAACCTAATTAAAACCCACAGTGCTAGAAGAAATGTAATGTAATTGTGTGGCCCAAGTGATGTCACACACTCCGTGTTGTCAACAAGCAAAACCAAATGGACTGGATGGGTTCAATAAGCAAACAAGCTTGTATATACATCAAGTGTGGCTTTGGTCAGAGCAGAAATACATGTTAAGTCAACAGTTGTCTTGAATTAAAAACTGTATACATGGTATACACATAGAGAACAAGTGGAGCATCTTTCAGTCAAACAAGGCCTTCGGGCATGAGATAATGCTGGATTTGTTTTATAAATGCAAACACGTGGTGAATGTGTTCAAACACATAAATAAATAGCTCTCTTTCAAACCATCATTCATAAAACTTACTTCCCATGCATCATTTATAATACTTGCTCTAAATTCATCATTCATAAAACTTGCTGTCAATGACAATGCATCATACATAAAACTAACTCTCAATCCATCATTCATAAAACTTAATCTCATTGCATCTTTCCCATCAGACAAATGTACAAACACATCAGACAACTATACAGACACACACAAAACCAAATCTTGCACACATCAGACACCTATACATACACACACAACACCAGATCTTGCAAGCATTACATAGGGTCAGCTGTATGTGTCACAGTAATAATGATTAGGCAAACATTTCAACAACAGTAGATAAAAGACTTGTCACAATTCTGGCTCCACACTATTCTTTACGTTGTAAATAGAAAAAAAAAGTCTGGAATCTGTGGAGTTAAAACATAAGCAACAATAGATCTGCTATTGGTCAGTTGGTCAACACAATTGTCCCCTCTATTCAACAATGTAATTATATACTGTCCTACCTCATCTGCCCCCAAAGCTCACTGAGAGGTACTTTCCTAAACAATTTACAATAATTCAATCACAATTAGGAAATAAAATAGCTTAATCACTTAATGTAGATATTTATAGTTTTATTGTAAATAAAGTTAAGAAACAACTTAAATTCCTAGAAAAGTTCATAATAGCAAGTAGACCTGAAGGCATTAAAAATCACCACACAAGAAAAATCAGGTTACTGGCAAACTTTAAATTGTACAATTTTTAATTTAAAAAAATCAAATTAAACCCACTGTGTTGGAGTTCAGTATCAAAATAAGGAGCAAGCAATGGACACACTTTTCTAGCATATTTCTAGTGTTGTTAGGAAACCATAAATATGTTCTACAAGTGGGAAGTTTTGCTCAGATAGATCAGTACAAGTCAATGAATGGGTAGGTTGTACTAGGCTGAGTGACCATCTTAGATTACAACTTGTATTAAGTTTCATTGTCTAGTGGATTCAATAGACTTCTGTGGGTTTTTTTGTTTGTTGTTTCTATTTTTTTTAACAAGGGAGGGGTCTGGGGGCTTCTTATTCACTGCTTGACTTTAAAGGTTACGATTTATTTCCCTTTTTCCCAAGCACCTGATTGCTAGCAATGTCGTTGGCTGAACTGGTCCTACTGGAGGAACCTTTTTTGGTCAACAAGGTGGGGGGCGTTGGCTTTCTGCTCAAGGGAGGCTTGCCGGCCAGATCTGGCTCATCCAGCGAGGACTGTCTACGCTGACTGTCCACACTCTTGCTCTGGACCTCTGTTGGGAAGGAACTTTTGCGCTTGTGTGTTTGGTGAACATTCTTCTTCTGGCCCCCATTGCTGAGGTGGGTAGAGTCTAGGCCAGCAGTCAATCCCTTGGAGGATCCTGTCTGCTGCACATTACAGGCAGCTACAGGCGCAGGATGGCCAACTGACACAGGCTGGCCACTAGACACAGGCTGGCCACTGGACACAGGCTGGCCACTAGACACAGGCTGGCCATCTTTCTTAAGTTTTGTCCTAGAGAGAATCCTGGAGGTGCCAGAATGAGGCTGTGGTCTGGGCGGCGGGGCCATGAAAGACTTCTGGGTACTGCAGTGTTCTATGGGGATAAAGGATGGCAGAATGGAGGAGGACTTAGGACGGGCCAATGCCCCATAGGGCAGGTGTGTCTGGTGCACCAGGGCAGGTGATGGGGGTAGATGGGAGGTGTACCACCAGCTGGCTGGGTAGTGCTCAGCATGGTGTTGACTGGCCAGGTGAGGACAGGCTGACACATCAATGTACGCTGGCTGGACAGCAAGCACTAGGTTGCTGCACCTGGGACAACACTGTGCCTGGCCTGGATCACAGGACACACACTCAGAGCTGCTGCTCTCTTTGGCTGGGGATGCTGGGAACTTGAAGCGGTTTTCCTGCAGATAGTTCTCAGCCAGAAAGTAGTCCTGTCCTGGGTTAGGCCTGAGGTGTGGATCCTCAAAGCTCAGGTGCCTGGTGTTCCTGAGCTCAGGTTTGGACTGAAAGACAGCGCTGGCTCTCCCAAGTTTGTGCTTGTGGTAGGAGGGGAGTTTGAATTCTGGACTCTGACCTGCGCAGATCTGAGTGTCTCCGTTGTGTGGCAGGCTGGGTCCAGCATCCTCAGCACAGACATCAGAGTCACTGTCAGCACCCAAGTCAGAGGAGCTGTACACATTTTCACACGATGACTTGTCTGTCTTCTGTGGCCCCGCCCTGTGGAGCTCTCCTGTGTTCTGTGGCCCCGCCCTGTGGAGCTCTCCTGTGTTCTGTGGCCCCGTCCTGTGGAGCTCTCCTGTGTTCTGTGGCCCCGCCCTGTGGAGCTCTCCTGTGTTGTGTGGCCCCGCCCTGTGGAGCTCTCCTGTCTTGGATGTTAAAGCAGCTGTAGCTCTAGCCTGACCACCGCTGGACTCCATCCCATCACTCACACCAAATAAAACCCCTGCGGCAGACACAAAACTGGACGCTGGCTCAGCTGTTGGACACTTGACTCCTGTAGACAGTACTGGCTTTGTTGGATCCACTTCATGCTTCAACTTTTTCCTTTTCTTTTTTTTACTGATCTGTAGGGCAGGAAACAAACTCCATTGTTACTGACAGAAGATTATTAGAGGTAACAAGGTCCCCCTCCCTCTATAGATCAGAGATGTATTATAATCAAATTCTGCAAGCAGCAAGGCATGCATGAAAAATTTTTACCTGGGGTAAGTCAGATAGTAATAGACTAGTTTTGTCGGAGCTAACATCAACTTTTGAACTACAAGCTGAAAACAAAAGAAAATATTTCACAAACTGTTTTTAAAAAATTAAGTCTTAATAGATCACTATTGGACAACTTATATGTTAGTACAGATTCTATAATCTAAGTGTATTTGTAGTCAATTGATGACACTTTCAGGTAACTTTGTACCATCATACATCACTCATACACCACTCACCAAAGTTTGTATCACCTCTTCAGTTTGTATCACCACTCACCAAAATTTGTGTCACCACTCACCAAAGTTTGTCTCACCACTCACCTAGGTTTGTCTCACCACTCACCTAAGTTTGTCTCACCACTCACCAAAGTTTGTATCACCACTCACCTAAATTTGTCTCACCACTCACCAAAGTTTGTCTCACCACTCACCAAAGTTTGTATCACCACTCACCAAAGTTTGTTTCACCACTCACCAAAGTTTGTCTCACCACTCACCTAGGTTTGTCTCACCACTCACCAAAGTTTGTCTCACCACTCACCAAAGTTTGTGTCACCACTCACCTAAGTTTGTCTCACCACTCACCTAGGTTTGTCTCACCACTCACCAAAGTTTGTCTCACCACTCACCAAAGTTTGTGTCACCACTCACCTAAGTTTGTCTCACCACTCACCTAGGTTTGTCTCACCACTCACCAAAGTTTGTGTCACCACTCACCTAAGTTTGTCTCACCACTCACCAAAGTTTCTATCACCACTTTGGTTTGTATCACCACTCACCTAGGTTTGTATCACTACTCTGTCTTTTCATGGCCTTCTGTTGGCCAGTGTCCTGCTGGACGCCCACATCAGACTTCCTCCTCTTGCGTGTGGAGGTCTCCAGGACGGGCTGTTTGGGCATGGTGTCCAGGAGAAACTGGTGGTCACTGTAGGAGAGCCCATGCTTGCTGCGGCCACGGTAGCTGCTGATGACCAGCCAGACAAAGAGCACAGCTTGCAGGAAGGCCAGGAGGAACTGACCATCATAAAGCTGAGGGAACAAGGAAAGGAACATCAACATTTTAAAGCTAGGCAGAGAAGAAACTGGTCTAATTATTACAAATGACAAACTTATAAGAGGCAAAGATTGTCAGCCTGTGTAGGTGGGCCTACCTTCTTGGCCATGGCATCCATCTGTAGCTGTAGATCATCTAAATACTCTGTCAAGTTGAGCACCTTTTGTTCCAGTAGATCCACATGGGCTTCATGTCGCAGCTCCTTCAAAGATTACACACAACACATTACACACAACACATAACACACAACACATTACACACAATATATTGCACACAACACATTACACTCAACACATTACACACAACACATTGCACACAACGCATAACACAACACATCGCACACAACACACCGCACACAACACATCACACACAACACATTACACACTACACATTGCACACAACACATCGCACACAACACACCGCACACATTACACACTACACATTGCACACAACACATTACACACTACACATTACACACTACAAATTGCACACAACACATTACACACTACACACAACACATTGCACACTACACATTGCACACAACACATTACACACAACACATTACACACTACACATTGCACACAACACATTACACACTACAAATTGCACACAACACATTACACACAACACATTGCACACTACACATTGCACACAACACATTGCACACAACACATAACACACTACACACAACACATTGCACACAACACATTGCAAACAACACACTACACACAACACATTACACACTGCACACAACACATTGCACACAACACATTGCACACAACACATTACACACAACACATTGCACACAACACATTACACACAACACATTACACACAACACATTACGCACAACACAAAACACATTACACACAACACTCATCTACATCATATATGTAGGGCCTACACCCTTTTTCGTTTTTCAAGAATTGTTGTGTAAAATAATCCTAACCTTTTTTATTAAGATAAATATTGTTGTATAAAGGAATCCTAACCCTTCTGTTTAAGATAAATATTTTTGTATAAAGGAATCCTATCCTTTTTGTTTAAGATAAATATTGTTGTATAAAGGAATCCTAACCTTTCTGTTTAAGATAAATATTTTTGTATAAAGGAATCCTAACCTTTCTGTTTAAGATAAATATTGTTGTATAAAGGAATCCTAACCCTTCTGTTTAAGATAAATATTGTTGTATAAAGGAATCCTAACCTTTCTGTTTAAGATAAATATTGTTGTATAAAGGAATCCTTCTGTTTAAGATAAATATTGTTGTATCCTAACCTTTTCCTCTGCCTGGCTAATGTAGACATTTAGCCTCTTCTCCGTCTTGTTGAGCAGTTTCATCATCTCTTCATTTTGTTGTTTGAAGGCTCGACTCAGTTCTTCTAGATACCTGGCAATTAATCCAGTCACAGTGGGCTTACATCTGACAGTCACAGTGGGCTTACAAACATCTGACAGTCACAGTGGGCTTACAAACATCTGACAGTCACAGTGGGCTTACATCTGACAGTCACAGTAGGCTTACAAACATCTGACAGTCACAGTGGGCTTACATCTGACAGTCACAGTAGGCTTACAAACATCTGACAGTCACAGTGGGCTTACAAACATCTGATAGTCAAAGTGGGCTTACAAACATCTGAGAGTCAAACACAGTGGGCTTACAAACATCTGACAGTCACAGTGGGCTTACAAACATCTGACATTCACAGTGGGCTTACAAACATCTGACAGTCAAAGTGGGCTTACAAACATATGACAGTCAAAGTGGGCTTACAAACATCTGAGAGTCACACACAGTGGGCTTACAAACATCTGAGAGTCAAACACAGTGGGCTTACAAACATCTGTGAGTCACACACAGTGGGCTTACAAACATCTGACAGTCAAAGTCGGCTTACAAACATCTGACAGTCATACAAAGAGGGCTTACAAACATCTGACAGTCATACAAAGTGGGCTTACAAACAATGAATCAACAGAACAAACTGAATGGTAAGTAGCAAAAGAAAATGTCAACTATGTTAGAACTGAAACTGAAAGATAAAAAAATTCTCATCAGAAAGCTGGATAGTTTGAGCTGCTCAACTTGTCCTTACTTTTTAGTCATGGAAACATTCTGCTCCAAGGCTAGTATCCTGTTGTTGAGTTTCATCATTGTGATGTCCCTCTTGCCTGGTGTGGGCATCCCAACTTTCAACAGGTCCATTGGCTTCAGAGATCTCACAGTAGAATCATTCTCAGCCTGACAAGGTCAAGGGTATCACTCTATTTAACTGAACCTTTGTTAGCTACACTCTAATTAATTGAACCTTAGCTACACACTCTAATTAACTTCACCTCAGTTAGCTAGGGTTAGGGTTAGAACAGTTGTTACAATTCAGATAGAACTTTTTTTTAAACAGTGGCTGAGTTGAGTGCTGACCACACTATCCTCAAATGATTTGATACATTCAAGTTTCACACCTTGTAATATATAGCCACATATTGCCACAAGTCGTATGAGACCAGGGGTCGGCGTGGTCCAGTCGGTAAAGCTCATGGTTGCTAAACCGAAAAGTCTCGCGTTTGATCCCTCGGGCAGATGAGGCTCGTTAGCTGGGGACAGCCACTCTTCTAGGAGAGACAACTCCAAAATCAAACAACTACTGCCGTGTAGTTTTTTCTTGGTTGGACAAAGGCTATGGAAGCAAATCCAAAAAGAAAAGCAGGCTGAAATCGGAGTCAATGGCCTTAATGGCGCATAACCAGTTGACACGTAATCCTTAATTGTGATGGAAGCATGGTCGAGTCGGCAAAGCTCATGGTTGATAAATTCGAAAAAAAAAAGTCTCGAGTTCAAACCCTCTGGCAGATAATGCTCGATCCCTCCCAACACGAAAAATTAAGAACGAAGAAGATGAGACCACTATTACCCAAGAATTTTGCTTTTTGTGGTACCTGTTGCCTGTGACCCAGTCGTAAATACAAGTATGATGAAACATTTTATAAGGGTTTAATCAACATGTTTCTAATGCTGAATGTTTAGACATGATGTAACCATGATGTTAGGGAGCTGGTGTACCACCCTGTGTACCACCCTGTGTAATAGTCAGCTAGAGCACATCTTGGCCACTGTCCAGGTGTGAGGGGTCATACCACCACTGGACACCCTGGTTCAACTTAGTCATTGATTTCAGAAGTTCTTGTGTCCCTAGTGTACGGCACTCTCTAAAATGAATGTAGGTGCCATAACATGAGAGGCTGTAACCACTCTAAGGTGACTCACCTGAAGCCTCCTCTGGTCCAATGTAGGTGCCATAACATGAGAGGCTGTAACCACTGTAAGGTGACTCACCTGAAGCCTCCTCTGGTCCAATGTAGGTGCCATAACGTGAGAGGCTGTAACCACCGTAAGGTGACTCACCTGAAGCCTCCTCTGGTCCAATGTAGGTGCCATAACATGAGAGGCTGTAACCACTCTAAGGTGACTCACCTGAAGCCTCCTCTGGTCCAATGTAGGTGCCATAACGTGAGAGGCTGTAACCACTGTAAGGTGACTCACCTGAAGCCTCCTCTGGTCCAATGTAGGTGCCATAACGTGAGAGGCTGTAACCACTGTAAGGTGACTCACCTGAAGCCTCCTCTGGTCCAATGTAGGTGCCATAACGTGAGAGGCTGTAACCACTCTAAGGTGACTCACCTGAAGCCTCCTCTGGTCCAATGTTCCTTGGGGCAGGTCCTCATCACCCTGACCAGGTTCATCCTCCCTAGTTGGCTGGACACTACCAGGAAGCTGACCACTCCGGTCCATAACAGTTGGAGTTTCAAACAAATCTTCACCCAAGCCTTCCTGAGAATAGTCTGATCCCATAGTGGGGGAGGGGGACACCTGAAAGGTAACAGTAATACCATGACAACAATGGCTAGCAAAGGTAACAGTAATACCATGACAACAATGGCTAGCAAAGGTAACAGTAATACCATGACAACCACGGCTAGCAAAGGTAACAGTAAAAACATGACAACCACAGCTAGCAAAGGTAACAATAATAGCATGACAACAATGGCTAGCAAAGGTAACAGTAATACAATGACAACAATGGCTAGCAAAGGTAACAATAATTGCATGACAACCACGGCTAGCAAAGGTAACAGTAATACCATGACAACAATGGCTAGCAAAGGTAACAATAATTGCATGACAACCACGGCTAGCAAAGGTAACAGTAAAAACATGACAACCACAGCTAGCAAAGGTAACAGTAATACCATGACAACAATGGCTAGCAAAGGTAACAGTAATACCATGACAACCACGGCTAGCAAAGGTAACAGTAAAAACATGACAACCACAGCTAGCAAAGGTAACAATAATAGCATGACAACAATGGCTAGCAAAGGTAACAGTAATACAATGACAACAATGGCTAGCAAAGGTAACAATAATTGCATGACAACCACGGCTAGCAAAGGTAACAGTAATACCATGACAACAATGGCTAGCAAAGGTAACAATAATTGCATGACAACCACGGCTAGCAAAGGTAACAGTAATACAATGACAACAATGGCTAGCAAAGGTAACAATAATTGCATGACAACCACGGCTAGCAAAGGTAACAGTAATACCATGACAACAATGGCTAGCAAAGGTAACAATAATTGCATGACAACCACGGCTAGCAAAGGTAACAGTAATACCATGACAACAATGGCTAGCAAAGGTAACAATAATTGCATGACAACCACGGCTAGCAAAGGTAACAGTAAAAACATGACAACCACAGCTAGCAAAGGTAACAGTAATACCATGACAACAATGGCTAGCAAAGGTAACAATAATAGCATGACAACCACGGCTAGCAAAGGCAACAGTAACACCATGACAACAATGGCTAGCAAAGGTAACAATAATAGCATGACAACCACGGCTAGCAAAGGTAACAGAAACAAAACGAACTATTCAATTGAGTTGATAGTTGAGATAGGAAGAAATAAAGTTGAAAAGATCCAAGAGTTACCTTTAAAAAAATGGTTTCAGCCAAGTCTGTAGCCCCCTGCTCCACCACCTGGGACTGCTGGATGTGAAGGCCAGGGGTCAGCACTGACACCGCATCGTTCTCCAGCCCTGACTGGCTGGACACAGAGCTGGGCTCCAGCAGCTCAGACCTGGTCACTGACACACCAGCAGACGTGAAGCCTGCGGACTGGGACGAGTCCACCTCAACCTGGGGGGGTGACAGCTCAGTGTCTAGCGTGGCAGGGTCAGGCTGAGAGGGTGGAACACTGCTGTCATCACTCCTCTTCTCTACAGCAGACTCTGGACTCATGCTCGTCACCAGTGGGGTGCTGCCAGTGTCTACTTGACCCACATTCTCCTGGACACTAGCCTCTGTAGCTCTGGCACTGTCCTGGTTCTAAGACAACAACACATTTATTATAATAAAATTTATATCAACATTCTATTGTACAACACAAGGGTAGACTGTTCTGATGGACAAAATCTATATCTACATTCTATTGTACAAGGGTAGACTGTTCTTATGGACAAAATCTAGATCAACATTCTATTGTACAAGGGTAGACTGTTCTTATGGACAAAATCTATATCTACATTCTATTGTACAAGGGTAGACTGTTCTTATGGACAAAATCTAGATCAACATTCTATTGTATAAGGGTAGACTGTTCTTATGGACAAAATCTAGATCAACATTCTATTGTATAAGGGTAGACTGTTCTTATGGACAAAATCTAGATCAACATTCTATTGTATAAGGGTAGACTGTTCTGATGGACAAAATCTATATCTACATTCTATTGTACAAGGGTAGACTGTTCTTATGGACAAAATCTAGATCAACATTCTATTGTACAAGGGTAGACTGTTCTTATGGACAAAATCTAGATCAACATTCTATTGTATAAGGGTAGACTGTTCTGATGGACAAAATCTATATCTACATTCTATTGTACAAGGGTAGACTGTTCTTATGGACAAAATCTAGATCAACATTCTATTGTACAAGGGTAGACTGTTCTGATGGACAAAATCTAGATCAACATTCTATTGTATAAGGGTAGACTGTTCTTATGGACAAAATCTAGATCAACATTCTATTGTATAAGGGTAGACTGTTCTTATGGACAAAATCTAGATCAACATTCTATTGTATAAGGGTAGACTGTTCTGATGGACAAAATCTATATCTACATTCTATTGTATAAGGGTAGACTGTTCTTATGGACAAAATCTAGATCAACATTCTATTGTACAAGGGTAGACTGTTCTTATGGACAAAATCTAGATCAACATTCTATTGTACAAGGGTAGACTGTTCTTATGGACAAAATCTATATCTACATTCTATTGTACAAGGGTAGACTGTTCTTATGGACAAAATCTATATCTACATTCTATTGTACAAGGGTAGACTGTCCTGATAAACAAAATCTATATCTACATTCTATTGTACAAGGGTAGACTGTCCTGATAAACAAAATCTATATCAACATTCTATTGTACAAGGGTAGACTGTTCTGATGGACAAAATCTATATCAACATTCTATTGTACAAGGGTAGACTGTTCTGATGGACAAAATCTATATCAACATTCTATTGTACAACACCAGGGTACACTGTCCTGATAAACAAAATCTATATCTACATTCTATTGTACAAGGGTAGACTGTCCTGATAAACAAAATCTATATCTACATTCTATTGTACAAGGGTAGACTGTCCTGATGGACAAAATCTATATCAACATTCTATTGTACAAGGGTAGACTGTCCTGATGGACAAAATCTATATCAACATTCTATTGTTTTTTGTATAGATGAATAGAATAAAAGTGTGTCCATATACTGACCAGTGTCCAAACTTTCTGTGCGCCAGTGCTGCAGGTGGGTGGGTAGCTGATGCGAGACATGAGCAGCACATAGGTGCTCCAGGGGCTGTGGACACACACAAGGGGGGAGTGCAGCAGGTGACCCCCCTCTCCTTCCTGCTCCAGCTTGATGACCACTGGTAGCTCTGTGCTGTCCACTGGGAGCTGGTCAGTCTCACCAAGTTTGGTGATGATGGGCATTTCTTCAACTACTTTAGACACTAGGAAAACATGAAAGAGTTCTGGTTATCAACTGAACTTGATGAATAGAGCTGACAATGCTTATTTATGTGAAACATGAATTGAAACTTATCCCAATAGGGCTTGTAAGTCTCAGTCTCTCTCACTTAAAATCTTGTTAACTCATCCCAATAGGGCTTGTAAGTCTCAGTCTCTCTCACTTAAAATCTTGTTAACTCATCCCAATAGGGCTTGTAAGTCCCAGTCTCTCTCACTTAAAATCTTGTTAACTCATCCCAATAGGGCTTGTAAGTCTCAGTCTCTCTCACTTAAAATCTTGTTAACTCATCCCAATAGGGCTTGTAAGTCTCAGTCTCTCTCACTTAAAATCTTGTTAACTCATCCCAATAGGGCTTGTAAGTCTCAGTCTCTCTCACTTAAAATCTTGTTAACTCATCCCAATAGCATTGTGGAGCCAGCTGGATGACCTGGACTTTGCTGACGACCTGGCCCTCCTTTCTCACACACAACAGCAAATGCAGGATAAAACCAACAGGGTTGCAAATTTTTCTACAAGCCTGGGTCTGAACATCCACAGAGGGAAAAGTAAAGTTCTCAAAGTCAATACATCAAACAACAACCCTATAACACTGGCAGAAGAAGCCCTAGAAGAAGTGGATAGATTCACCTACCTTGGAAGTATTGTTGATAAGCAGGGTGGGACAGAAGCAGACATAAAAATAAGGACGGGTAAGGCAAGAGCAGTCTTCAACCAACTAAAAAATGTTTGGGGTTCGGGAGATTTAACCCTTAGAATAAAAATCCGGATCTTCAACACACTAGTAAAACCTGTTTTACTCTATGGAGCCGAGACATGGAGAATAACTGCTATAAATAAGAAGAAAATACAATCATTTATAAACGCATGTCTCAGAAAGATCCTGCGAATTCGCTGGCCTAAAACCATCAGAAATGATGTTCTATGGCAACGGACAAATCAACTGCCAGTGGAAGTAGAGATCCTCCAGAGAAAATGGAAATGGATTGGCCACACACTCAGGAAGCCTGTATCCAGCATAACAAGACAGGCCCTCACCTGGAATCCACAAGGCAGGAGGAAGAGAGGCAGACCAAGAAAGACCTGGAGACGTGACCTGGAAGAAGACACCAAGAAGATTGGATACACCTGGGAACAGTTGGAGAGACTAGCCCTGGACAGAGACGTCTGGAAAGCTCTTGTCAGCGGCCTATGTCCCAGTAGGGACGACAGGCAAACATGACATGACATGACATCCCAATAGGGCTTGTAAGTCTCAGTCTCTCTCACTTAAAATCTTGTTAACTCATCCCAATAGGGCTTGTAAGTCTCAGTCTCTCTCACTTAAAATCTTGTTAACTCATCCCAATAGGGCTTGTAAGTCTCAGTCTCTCTCACTTAAAATCTTGTTAACTCATCCCAATAGGGCTTGTAAGTCTCAGTCTCTCTCACTTAAAATCTTGTTAACTCATCCCAATAGGGCTTGTAAGTCCCAGTCTCTCTCACTTAAAATCTTGTTAACTCATCCCAATAGGGCTTGTAAGTCCCAGTCTCTCTCACTTAAAATCTTGTTAACTCATCCCAATAGGGCTTGTAAGTCCCAGTCTCTCTCACTTAAAATCTTGTTAACTCATCCCAATAGGGCTTGTAAGTCTCAGTCTCTCTCACTTAAAATCTTGTTAACTCATCCCAATAGGGCTTGTAAGTCTCAGTCTCTCTCACTTAAAATCTTGTTAACTCATCCCAATAGGGCTTGTAAGTCTCAGTCTCTCTCACTTAAAATCTTGTTAACTCATCCCAATAGGGCTTGTAAGTCCCAGTCTCTCTCACTTAAAATCTTGTTAACTCATCCCAATAGGGCTTGTAAGTCTCAGTCTCTCTCACTTAAAATCTTGTTAACTCATCCCAATAGGGCTTGTAAGTCTCAGTCTCTCTCACTTAAAATCTTGTTAACTCATCCCAATAGGGCTTGTAAGTCCCAGTCTCTCTCACTTAAAATCTTGTTAACTCATCCCAATAGGACTTGTAAGTCTCAGTCTCTCTCACTTAAAATCTTGTTAACTCATCCCAATAGGGCTTGTAAGTCCCAGTCTCTCTCACTTAAAATCTTGTTAACTCATCCCAATAGGGCTTGTAAGTCTCAGTCTCTCTCACTTAAAATCTTGTTAACTCATCCCAATAGGGCTTGTAAGTCCCAGTCTCTCTCACTTAAAATCTTGTTAACTCATCCCAATAGGACTTGTAAGTCTCAGTCTCTCTCACTTAAAATCTTGTTAACTCATCCCAATAGGGCTTGTAAGTCCCAGTCTCTCTCACTTAAAATCTTGTTAACTCATCCCAATAGGGCTTGTAAGTCCCAGTCTCTCTCACTTAAAATCTTGTTAACTCATCCCAATAGGGCTTGTAAGTCCCAGTCTCTCTCACTTAAAATCTTGTTAACTCATCCCAATAGGGCTTGTAAGTCTCAGTCTCTCTCACTTAAAATCTTGTTAACTCATCCCAATAGGGCTTGTAAGTCCCAGTCTCTCTCACTTAAAATCTTGTTAACTCATCCCAATAGGGCTTGTAAGTCTCAGTCTCTCTCACTTAAAATCTTGTTAACTCATCCCAATAGGGCTTGTAAGTCCCAGTCTCTCTCACTTAAAATCTTGTTAACTCATCCCAATAGGGCTTGTAAGTCCCAGTCTCTCTCACTTAAAATCTTGTTAACTCATCCCAATAGGGCTTGTAAGTCTCAGTCTCTCTCACTTAAAATCTTGTTAACTCATCCCAATAGGACTTGTAAGTCCCAGTCTCTCTCACTTAAAATCTTGTTAACTCATCCCAATAGGGCTTGTAAGTCTCAGTCTCTCTCACTTAAAATCTTGTTAACTCATCCCAATAGGGCTTGTAAGTCTCAGTCTCTCTCACTTAAAATCTTGTTAACTCATCCCAATAGGGCTTGTAAGTCTCAGTCTCTCTCACTTAAAATCTTGTTAACTCATCCCAATAGGGCTTGTAAGTCTCAGTCTCTCTCACTTAAAATCTTGTTAACTCATCCCAATAGGGCTTGTAAGTCCCAGTCTCTCTCACTTAAAATCTTGTTAACTCATCCCAATAGGGCTTGTAAGTCTCAGTCTCTCTCACTTAAAATCTTGTTAACTCATCCCAATAGGGCTTGTAAGTCCCAGTCTCTCTCACTTAAAATCTTGTTAACTCATCCCAATAGGGCTTGTAAGTCTCAGTCTCTCTCACTTAAAATCTTGTTAACTCATCCCAATAGGGCTTGTAAGTCTCAGTCTCTCTCACTTAAAATCTTGTTAACTCATCCCAATAGGGCTTGTAAGTCCCAGTCTCTCTCACTTAAAATCTTGTTAACTCATCCCAATAGGGCTTGTAAGTCTCAGTCTCTCTCACTTAAAATCTTGTTAACTCATCCCAATAGGGCTTGTAAGTCCCAGTCTCTCTCACTTAAAATCTTGTTAACTCATCCCAATAGGGCTTGTAAGTCCCAGTCTCTCTCACTTAAAATCTTGTTAACTCATCCCAATAGGGCTTGTAAGTCTCAGTCTCTCTCACTTAAAATCTTGTTAACTCATCCCAATAGGGCTTGTAAGTCCCAGTCTCTCTCACTTAAAATCTTGTTAACTCATCCCAATAGGGCTTGTAAGTCCCAGTCTCTCTCACTTAAAATCTTGTTAACTCATCCCAATAGGACTTGTAAGTCTCAGTCTCTCTCACTTAAAATCTTGTTAACTCATCCCAATAGGGCTTGTAAGTCCCAGTCTCTCTCACTTAAAATCTTATTAGCCAGGGAGAGTTATCAAGTTTACAACTAAATTAAAAAAAAACATGATGGCTATTGGTTTCTAAACTTCTATCAAGATTTTAAAATACCCAAAATGCAACAATTATAAATACTTTTTTTTTACTAATAATAGAATCAATTTAAGTACAGGTAAGCCTAATCTAATAACAATATATTAATATTTTAACAACATTTAGGAAAACTTTTACGGATTTGAAAAAATAGTAAGAAACTGTATGCTTTTTTTTAAAGTTCACTTTTTATAGCAGGCAATAATTTTCTCTAGGCTAGCCTACATCTTGTATTCTATCATTATTATTGTTTACGATTTTAAATGACTTAATAGCGGAAATAACTTTTATATTATTTTTTTAGAGATTTTATCAAATTATTCATATTTGGTTTTAAAAATAATAGCTGGGAAGTATAAAAATGTGAAGTTGGTGAACTACTTACAAGTCCTACTAGAGTGGTGCCAGTATCTAAGCACTTTAAACCACTAAGTCTGCTCAAATTACCTACTCTAATGGATTGATAGCACACTGAGACAATCTCTTGATAGCTAGTTACATGGCTTGACAAAATACTTGTCACTTGATAGCTAGTTACATGGCTTGACAAAATACTTGTCACTTGATAGCTAGTTACATGACTTGACAAAATACTTGTCACTTGATAGCTAGTTACATGGCTTGACAAAATACTTGTCACTTGATAGCTAGTTACATGGCTTGACAAAATACTTGTCACTTGATAGCTAGTTACATGGCTTGACAAAATACTTGTCACTTGATAGCTAGTTACATGGCTTGACAAAATACTTGTCACTTGATAGCTAGTTACATGGCTTGACAAAATACTTGTCACTTGATAGCTAGTTACATGGCTTGACAAAATACTTGTCACTTGATAGCTAGTTACATGGCTTGACAAAATACTTGTCACTTGATAGCTAGTTATATGACTTGATAAAATACTTGTCACTTGAAAGCTAGTTACATGGCTTGACAAAATACTTGTCACTTGATAGCTAGTTACATGACTTGACAAAATACTTGTCACTTGATAGCTAGTTACATGGCTTGACAAAATACTTGTCACTTGATAGCTAGTTACATGGCTTGACAAAATACTTGTCACTTGATAGCTAGTTACATGGCTTGACAAAATACTTGTCACTTGATAGCTAGTTACATGGCTTGACAAAATACTTGTCACTTGATAGCTAGTTACATGGCTTGACAAAATACTTGTCACTTGATAGCTAGTTATATGACTTGACAAAATACTTGTCACTTGATAGCTAGTTACATGGCTTGACAAAATACTTGTCACTTGATAGCTAGTTACATGACTTGACAAAATACTTGTCACTTGATAGCTAGTTACATGGCTTGACAAAATACTTGTCACTTGATAGCTAGTTACATGGCTTGACAAAATACTTGTTAGCTGTGCCCTTAGGATTTTGTAAAAACACAAGTAAACATCAGACTCACCTGATGGAGGAGTTACCACCCCTGCACTTGGTACAGCCACACCTGGGGTAGAAGATTCACTCCCTTGGCGAACATCACTGAAGGTCAAATAAATAAATAAACATCACTGGAGGTCAAATAAATAAATAAACATCACTGTAGGTCAAATAAATAAACAAACATCACTGTAGGTCAAATAAATAAACATCACTGTAGGTCAAATAAATAAATATTATTGTAGGTCAAATAAATAAATAAACATCACTGTAGATCAAATAAACAGGTAAAAAAAAGATGAACACTGATTTGATAAATTGAACCACCAACGAAAGTGTTGTCACCTTTCTGTCTGTATACATTACAAAGGTGTCACCTACCTGTCTGTATACATTACAAAGGTGTCACCTACCTGTCTGTATACATTATAAAGGTGTCACCTACCTGTCTGTATACATTATAAAGGTGTCACCTACCTGTCTGTATACATTATAAAGGTGTCACCTACCTGTCTGTATACATTACAAAGGTGTCACCTACCTGTCTGTATACACTATAAAGGTGTCACCTACCTGTCTGTATACATTACAAAGGTGTCACCTACCTGTCTGTATACATTACAAAGGTGTCACCTACCTGTCTGTATACATTACAAAGGTGTCACCTACCTGTCTGTATACATTACAAAGGTGTCACCTACCTGTCTGTATACATTACAAAGGTGTCACCTACCTGTCTGTATACATTACAAAGGTGTCACCTACCTGTGTGTATACATTACAAAGGTGTCACCTACCTGTCTGTATACATTACAAAGGTGTCACCTACCTGTCTGTATACATTACAAAGGTGTCACCTACCTGTCTGTATACATTACAAAGGTGTCACCTACCTGTCTGTATACATTACAAAGGTGTCACCTACCTGTCTGTATACATTACAAAGGTGTCACCTACCTGTCTGTATACATTACAAAGGTGTCACCTACCTGTCTGTATACATTACAAAGGTGTCACCTACCTGTCTGTATACATTACAAAGGTGTCACCTACCTGTCTGTATACATTACAAAGGTGTCACCTACCTGTCTGTATACATTACAAAGTTGTCACCTACCTGTCTGTATACATTACAAAGGTGTCACCTACCTGTCTGTATACATTACAAAGGTGTCACCTACCTGTCTGTATACATTACAAAGGTCTCACCTACCTGTCTGTATACATTACAAAGGTCTCACCTACCTGTCTGTATACATTATAAAGGTGTCACCTACCTGTCTGTAGACATTACAAAGGTGTCACCTACCTGTCTGTAGACATTATAAAGGTGTCACCTACCTGTCTGTATACATTACAAAGGTCTCACCTACCTGTCTGTATACATTACAAAGGTGTCACCTACCTGTCTGTATACATTACAAAGGTGTCACCTACCTGTCTGTATACATTACAAAGGTGTCACCTACCTGTCTGTAGACATTATAAAGGTGTCACCTACCTGTCTGTATACATTACAAAGGTGTCACCTACCTGTCTGTATACATTACAAAGGTGTCACCTACCTGTCTGTATACATCACAAAGGTGTCACCTACCTGTCTGTATACATCACAAAGGTGTCACCTACCTGTCTGTATACATTACAAAGGTGTCACCTACCTGTCTGTATACATTACAAAGGTGTCACCTACCTGTCTGTATACATTACAAAGGTCTCACCTACCTGTGTGTATACATTACAAAGGTGTCACCTACCTGTCTGTATACATTACAAAGGTCTCACCTACCTGTCTGTATACATTACAAAGGTCTCACCTACCTGTCTGTATACATTACAAAGGTGTCACCTACCTGTCTGTATACATTACAAAGGTCTCACCTACCTGTGTGTATACATTACAAAGGTGTCACCTACCTGTCTGTATACATTACAAAGGTCTCACCTACCTGTCTGTATACATTACAAAGGTCTCACCTACCTGTCTGTATACATTACAAAGGTCTCACCTACCTGTCTGTATACATTACAAAGGTCTCACCTACCTGTCTGTATACATTACAAAGGTGTCACCTACCTGTCTGTATACATTACAAAGGTCTCACCTACCTGTCTGTATACATTATAAAGGTCTCACCTACCTGTCTGTATACATTACAAAGGTCTCACCTACCTGTCTGTATACATTACAAAGGTCTCACCTACCTGTCTGTATACATTACAAAGGTGTCACCTACCTGTCTGTATACATTACAAAGGTGTCACCTACCTGTCTGTATACATTACAAAGGTGTCACCTACCTGTCTGTATACATTACAAAGGTGTCACCTACCTGTCTGTATACATTACAAAGGTGTCACCTACCTGTCTGTATACATTACAAAGGTGTCACCTACCTGTCTGTATACATTACAAAGGTCTCACCTACCTGTCTGTATACATTACAAAGGTCTCACCTACCTGTCTGTATACATTACAAAGGTGTCACCTACCTGTCTGTATACATTACAAAGGTGTCACCTACCTGTCTGTATACATTACAAAGGTGTCACCTACCTGTCTGTATACATTACAAAGGTGTCACCTACCTGTCTGTATACATTACAAAGGTGTCACCTACCTGTCTGTATACATTACAAAGGTGTCACCTACCTGTCTGTATACATTACAAAGGTGTCACCTACCTGTCTGTATACATTACAAAGGTGTCACCTACCTGTCTGTATACATTACAAAGGTGTCACCTACCTGTCTGTATACATTACAAAGGTGTCACCTACCTGTCTGTATACATTACAAAGGTGTCACCTACCTGTCTGTATACATTACAAAGGTGTCACCTACCTGTCTATGCAGGGCTTTGCTTCCTCCTTTATAGGTTTCTCCTCAGCAGGCTCTGTACTGTTAGCTGGAGAGAGATGAACACCACGATGATTGTGATTGTGTGATGTATGACCCCCCTGTTGTACCAAACATGCAATGATTGTGATTGTGTGATGTATGACAGTGTTGTCCCAAACATGCAATGATTGTGATTGTGTGATGTATGACATTTGTTGTACCAAACCCACAATGATTATGATTGTGTGATGTATGATATGTGTTGTAACAAACCCACAATGATTGTGATTGTGTGATGTATGACATTTGTTGTACCAAACCCACAATGATTGTGTTTGTGTGATGTATGACATTTGTTGTACCAAACATGCAATGATTGTGAGTTGTATGACCCCCCCCATTGTTGAACCAAACACAATGATTGTGATTGTGTGATGAATGACAATTTGTTGTACCAAACCCACAATGACTGTGTTTATTGGATGTATCTGACTCACCCAAGGGGACATGACTCTCTTGGTTGCCTTCACCTGGCTCAGTCTGACCCTCCTGATCACCTTTGTACAGAACTTTCTTCACTAGCTTGACAACAGTCTCTGGAAAAATGCAGGTGATAAAAGCTTCATCAGAGGATACACTTGTAAACTTCTGACCAGTGGTAGGTGGACAGCTACCACCATTTATAGGCCAGTGGTAGATGGACAGTTCCAACATTTATAGTCCAGTGGTAGATGGACAGCTACCACCATTTATAGACCAGTGGTAGATGGACAGCTCTCACCATTTATAGACCAGTGGTAGATGGACAGCTACCACCATTTATAGACCAGTGGTAGATGGACAGCTCCCACCATTTATAGACCAGTGGTAGATGGACAGCTACCACCATTTATAGACCAGTGGTAGATGGACAGCTCCCACCATTTATAGACCAGTGGTAGATGGACAGCTACCACCATTTATAGACCAGTGGTAGATGGACAGCTACCACCATTTATAGACCAGTGGTAGATGGACATCTTCCACCATTTATAGACCAGTGGTACATGGACAGCTACCACCATTTATAGACCAGTGGTAGATGGACAGCTACCACCATTTATAGACCAGTGGTAGATGGACAGCTACCACCATTTATAGACCAGTGGTAGATGGACAGCTACCACCATTTATAGACCAGTGGTGGAGAGAGATTATAACTGTCATTGGTCAAGAGGTGATTAACTAGATGAATGTTTACCTTTAGCAACTGTCATTGGTCAAGAGGTGATTAACTAGATGAATGTTTACCTTTAGCAACTGTCATTGGTCAAGAGGTGATTAACTAGATGAATGTTTACCTTTAGCAACTGTCAATGGTCAAGAGGTGATTAACTAGATGAATGTTTACCTTTAGCAACTGTCAATGGTCAAGAGGTGATTAACTAGATGAATGTTTGCCTTTAGCAACTGTCAATGGTCAAGAGGTGATTAACTAGATGAATGTTTACCTTTAGCAACTGTCATTGGTCAAGAGGTGATTAACTAGATGAATGTTTACCTTTAGCACTAGTGAAAAGGTTGACTGTCTCCTCCACCATATCCTCCCCAGGGTCTCCAGTGGTGGCTGGTCCTGGGAGATGGTCAGAACATTTGGTCAGAACATACGGTCAGAACATACGGTCAGAACATTTGGTCAGAACATATGGTCAGAACATACGGTCAGAACATTTGGTCAGAACATATGGTCAGAACATACGGTCAGAACATATGGTCAGAACATACGGTCAGAACATACGGTCAGAACATACAGTTAGATCATACAGTGAGAACATCCAGAGAGAACATCAATAAGCAAGAACAAGTTACCTAAAGTTTAGTGTTTACCTTCAGGCTCTGGTTCAGGTTCATCATCTCCATCAGAAGCCATGTCAATACCAAACACCCTGAACAAAACCATCAGTTGTTACCATAGTTACAGAGTTCTTCAATTTTAATTGGCTAGTTAGCCGTACAATTTCACACTGAGCTTTCATATTTATAAGATATTTATAATGCAAGCCCACACCCCCTTTACCTGACCCCCGCCCACCTGAATGTTGTCAGGGGACAGTAGTGCTCCCCCACCCCTACCCTTCCACCCCTACCCCCCCACCCCCACCCACCTGAATGTTGTCAGGGGACAGTAGTGCTCCCCCACCCCTACCCTTCCACCCCTACCCCCCCACCCCCACCCACCTGAATGTTGTCAGGGGACAGTAGTGCTCCCCCACCCCTACCCTTCCACCCCTACCCCCCCACCCCCACCCACCTGAATGTTGTCAGGGGACAGTAGTGCTCCCCCACCCCTACCCTTCCACCCCTACCCCCCCACCCCCACCCACCTGAATGATGTCAGGGGACAGTAGTGCTCCCCCACCCCTACCCTTCCACCCCTACCCCTACACCTCCACCCCCACCCACCTGAATGATGTCAGGGGACAGTAGTGCTCCCCCACCCCTACCCCTACACCCCCACCCCCACCCACCTGAATGTTGTCAGGGGAATGTAGTGCTCCCCCACCACCCCTACCCCTACACCCCCACCCCCCCCCACCTGAATGTTGTCAGGGGACAGTAGTGCTCCTCTCCATGGTGTTCCAGCATCTCCACACGGACAAACTTGACAAACTCATCACTGAGCTGACTCTGGAATGACTGGACAACTCTGTCAGGCGTCATATCAAACTTGCCCAGAGTTATCCACTCTTTAGTTGGGAACCTGGACACAAAGCAAACCTTCATACATCATACAGGTCACAATCTACACATGACACAACAACATGTCACAATCTACACATGACACAACATCCATGTCACAATCTACATATGACACAACAACATCCATGTCACAATCTACACATGACACATCATCCATGTCACAATCTACACATGACACAACAACAACATCCATGTCACAATCTACACATGACACAACAACAACATCCATGTCACAATCTACACATGACACAACATCCATGTCACAATCTACACATGACACAACATCCATGTCACAATCTACACATGACACAACATCCATGTCACAATCTACACATGACACAACAACACCATCCATGTCACAATCTACACATGACACAACAACAACATCCATGTCACAATCTACACATGACACATCAACATCCATGCCACAAAGTTGGATGATAAGAAATGTGAACCAGCTGACCTCTGGCTAGAGAAGACACGAAAAGATTTGGGCTGGGATGAAAAGAGTTCCATGGTTCCAAGTTCCACACGATGTATCTGTAGGGGCTCACACAGTTCTACCACAAACCTGAAATTTTTAATCACATCCAGTTCACCATTCAGACAACACAACTACCCAGCACTGACCAGACAGACATTGCAGCACTGACCAGTTCCAGCACTGACCAGACAGACATTGCAGCACTGACCAGTTCCAGCACTGACCAGACAGTCATTGCAGCACTGACCAGTTCCAGCACTGACCAGACAGACATTGCAGCACTGACCAGTTCCAGCACTGATCATACAGACATTCCAGCACTAACCAGACAGACATTCCAGCACTGACCAGACATTCCAGCACTGACCAGACAGACATTCCAGCACTGACCAGTTCCAGCACTGACCAGACAGACATTGCAGCACTGACCAGTTCCAGCACTGATCATACAGACATTCCAGCACTAACCAGACAGACATTCCAGCACTGACCAGACATTCCAGCACTGACCAGACAGACATTCCAGCACTGACCAGACAGACATTCCAGCACTGACCAGACAGACATTCCAGCACTGACCAGACAGACATTCCAGCACTGACCAGACAGACATTCCAGCACTGACCAGACAGACATTCCAGCACTGACCAGACAGACATTCCAGCACTGACCAGACAGACATTCCAGCACTGACCAGACAGACATTCCAGCACTGACCAGTTCCAGCACTGACCAGTTCCAGCACTGACCAGACAGACATTCCAGCACTGACCAGACAGACATTCCAGCACTGACCAGTTCCAGCACTGACCAGACAGACATTCCAGCACTGGCCAGACAGACATTCCAGCACTGACCAGTTCCAGCACTGACCAGTTCCAGCACTGACCAGACAGACATTCCAGCACTGACCAGTTCCAGCACTGACCAGACAGACATTCCAGCAATGACCAGTTCCAGCACTGACCAGACAGACATTCCAGCACTGACCAGACAGACATTCCAGCACTGACCAGACAGACATTCCAGCACTGACCAGTTCCAGCACTGACCAGACAGACATTCCAGCACTGACCAGACAGACATTCCAGCACTGACCAGACAGACATTCCAGCACTGACCAGACAGACATTCCAGCACTGACCAGACAGACATTCCAGCACTGACCTGTTTCAGCACTGACCAGTTCCAGCACTGACCAGACAGACATTCCAGCACTGACCAGACAGACATTCCAGCACTGACCAGTTCCAGCACTGACCAGACAGACATTCCAGCACTGGCCAGACAGACATTCCAGCACTGACCAGTTCCAGCACTGACCAGTTCCAGCACTGACCAGACAGACATTCCAGCACTGACCAGTTCCAGCACTGACCAGACAGACATTCCAGCAATGACCAGTTCCAGCACTGACCAGACAGACATTCCAGCACTGACCAGACAGACATTCCAGCACTGACCAGACAGACATTCCAGCACTGACCAGACAGACATTCCAGCACTGACCAGACAGACATTCCAGCACTGACCAGACAGACATTCCAGCACTGACCAGACAGACATTCCAGCACTGACCAGACAGACATTCCAGCACTGACCAGACAGACATTCCAGCACTGACCAGTTCCAGCACTGACCAGTTCCAGCACTGACCAGACAGACATTCCAGCACTGACCAGACAGACATTCCAGCACTGACCAGTTCCAGCACTGACCAGACAGACATTCCAGCACTGGCCAGACAGACATTCCAGCACTGACCAGACAGACATTCCAGCACTGACCAGTTCCAGCACTGACCAGACAGACATTCCAGCAATGACCAGTTCCAGCACTGACCAGACAGACATTCCAGCACTGACCAGACAGACATTCCAGCACTGACCAGTTCCAGCACTGACCAGTTCCAGCACTGACCAGACAGACATTCCAGCACTGACCAGACAGACATTCCAGCACTGACCAGTTCCAGCACTGACCAGACAGACATTCCAGCACTGGCCAGACAGACATTCCAGCACTGACCAGTTCCAGCACTGACCAGTTCCAGCACTGACCAGACAGACATTCCAGCACTGACCAGTTCCAGCACTGACCAGACAGACATTCCAGCAATGACCAGTTCCAGCACTGACCAGACAGACATTCCAGCACTGGCCAGACAGACATTCCAGCACTGACCAGTTCCAGCACTGACCAGTTCCAGCACTGACCAGACAGACATTCCAGCACTGACCAGTTCCAGCACTGACCAGACAGACATTCCAGCACTGGCCAGACAGACATTCCAGCACTGACCAGTTCCAGCACTGACCAGACAGACATTCCAGCACTGACCAGTTCCAGCACTGACCAGACAGACATTCCAGCACTGACCAGTTCCAGCACTGACCAGACAGACATTCCAGCAATGACCAGTTCCAGCACTGACCAGACAGACATTCCAGCACTGGCCAGACAGACATTCCAGCACTGACCAGTTCCAGCACTGACCAGTTCCAGCACTGACCAGACAGACATTCCAGCACTGACCAGTTCCAGCACTGACCAGACAGACATTCCAGCACTGACCAGTTCCAGCACTGACCAGACAGACATTCCAGCAATGACCAGTTCCAGCACTGACCAGACAGACATTCCAGCACTGGCCAGACAGACATTCCAGCACTGACCAGTTCCAGCACTGACCAGTTCCAGCACTGACCAGACAGACATTCCAGCACTGACCAGACAGACATTCCAGCACTGACCAGTTCCAGCAGTGACCAGACAGACATTCCAGCACTGACCAGACAGACATTCCAGCACTGACCAGACAGACATTCCAGCACTGACCAGTTCCAGCACTGACCAGTTCCAGCACTGACCAGACAGACATTCCAGCACTGACCAGTTCCAGCACTGACCAGACAGACATTCCAGCACTGACCAGACAGACATTCCAGCACTGACCAGTTCCAGCACTGACCAGACAGACATTCCAGCACTGACCAGACAGACATTCCAGCACTGACCAGTTCCAGCACTGACCAGTTCCAGCACTGACCAGACAGACATTCCAGCACTGACCAGACAGACATTCCAGCACTGACCAGTTCCAGCACTGACCAGACAGACATTCCAGCACTGACCAGTTCCAGCACTGACCAGACAGACATTCCAGCACTGACCAGACAGACATTCCAGCACTGACCAGTTCCAGCACTGACCAGTTCCAGCACTGACCAGACAGACATTCCAGCACTGACCAGTTCCAGCACTGACCAGACAGACATTCCAGCACTGACCAGTTCCAGCACTGACCAGACAGACATTCCAGCACTGACCAGACAGACATTCCAGCACTGACCAGTTCCAGCACTGACCAGACAGACATTCCAGCACTGACCAGACAGACATTCCAGCACTGACCAGACAGACATTCCAGCACTGACCAGACAGACATTCCAGCACTGACCAGTTCCAGCACTGACCAGTTTCAGCACTGACCAGACAGACATTCCAGCACTGACCAGACAGACATTCCAGCACTGACCAGTTCCAGCACTGACCAGTTTCAGCACTGACCAGTTCCAGCACTGACCAGACAGACATTCCAGCACTGACCAGACAGACATTCCAGCACTGACCAGACAGACATTCCAGCACTGACCAGACAGACATTCCAGCACTGACCAGACAGACATTCCAGCACTGACCAGACAGACATTCCAGCACTGACCAGTTCCAGCACTGACCAGACAGACATTCCAGCACTGACCAGACAGACATTCCAGCACTGACCAGTTCCAGCACTGACCAGTTCCAGCACTGACCAGACAGACATTCCAGCACTGACCAGACAGACATTCCAGCACTGACCAGTTCCAGCACTGACCAGACAGACATTCCAGCACTGACCAGTTCCAGCACTGACCAGACAGACATTCCAGCACTGACCAGACAGACATTCCAGCACTGACCAGTTCCAGCACTGACCAGTTCCAGCACTGACCAGACAGACATTCCAGCACTGACCAGTTCCAGCACTGACCAGACAGACATTCCAGCACTGACCAGTTCCAGCACTGACCAGACAGACATTCCAGCACTGACCAGACAGACATTCCAGCACTGACCAGTTCCAGCACTGACCAGACAGACATTCCAGCACTGACCAGACAGACATTCCAGCACTGACCAGACAGACATTCCAGCACTGACCAGACAGACATTCCAGCACTGACCAGTTCCAGCACTGACCAGTTTCAGCACTGACCAGACAGACATTCCAGCACTGACCAGACAGACATTCCAGCACTGACCAGTTCCAGCACTGACCAGTTCCAGCACTGACCAGACAGACATTCCAGCACTGACCAGACAGACATTCCAGCACTGACCAGACAGACATTCCAGCACTGACCAGACAGACATTCCAGCACTGACCAGACAGACATTCCAGCACTGACCAGACAGACATTCCAGCACTGACCAGACAGACATTCCAGCACTGACCAGTTCCAGCACTGACCAGTTTCAGCACTGACCAGACAGACATTCCAGCACTGACCAGACAGACATTCCAGCACTGACCAGTTCCAGCACTGACCAGTTTCAGCACTGACCAGTTCCAGCACTGACCAGACAGACATTCCAGCACTGACCAGACAGACATTCCAGCACTGACCAGACAGACATTCCAGCACTGACCAGACAGACATTCCAGCACTGACCAGACAGACATTCCAGCACTGACCAGACAGACATTCCAGCACTGACCAGTTCCAGCACTGACCAGACAGACATTCCAGCACTGACCAGACAGACATTCCAGCACTGACCAGTTCCAGCACTGACCAGTTGCAGCACTGACCAGTTCCAGCACTGACCAGACAGACATTCCAGCACTGACCAGACAGACATTCCAGCACTGACCAGACAGACATTCCAGCACTGACCAGACAGACATTCCAGCACTGACCAGACAGACATTCCAGCACTGACCAGTTCCAGCACTGACCAGACAGACATTCCAGCACTGACCAGACAGACATTCCAGCACTGACCATTTCTTAGCCTTGCAGGGGTTGAGCATGTACTCATCAGGGTTGCCGTTGAGCAGATAGTTGATGTTCTCAGCCTCGGCATTGCTGGCTATCACCTTGGCTCCACAGCTGGCAGCGGCGTAGTTGTGGCGCAGTTTTTTCTGGTTGACTACACTGGCCTGGCTGACCACCACCTTGTCCTGGACTGGAACAGTTTGCTCACATTTTACACAACAAGCCTCCAGGAGGTGCTCTAGTTATCAGATTATTTTATACACCCACCACCAATATGGAAAATGGGGATTTTTTTAAAAAATGATTTACTAAATTAGTTCACATTTTAAAACCGTTTTGTTAATTGTGCTTAAATCATTTGAAAAATTTTCTTTTGCAAGTATGGTATCAAAAAATGAAATACTTTTCTCAATTTTCTGTTTCTCCTGTTCAGCTAAGTACTGTTTGGACCACTTGTCAAAGGTAGGGAACTCCTCTTCATCAGATACCTTTTTGGTTGCATCCAACAGCTCTTCATCCAAGCCACTACAACAGTTGGATAGTTTTATTACAGTCTAACAAAACAAATGACTACAACAGTTGGATAGTTTTATTACAGTCTAACAAAACAAATGAGCTACAACAGTTGGATAGTTTTATTACAGCCTAACAAAACAATCCTCCATCAAAACAAATGACTACAACAGTCAGATAAGTCTAGTACAGTCTAACAAAACAATCCTCCATCAAAACAAATGACTACAACAGTCAGATAAGTCTAGTACAGTCTAACAAAACAATCCTTTATCAAAACAAATGAGCTAGTATTCAAACTAAGATGAGTCGTGTATCAATATCAAAACAAATCAACAAGGCTAGACAAGGTGACCAGGATGATGAGAGGATGAGGTGAGTTTTACCTGAATTGGGTGCTGATGAGAGGATGAGGTGAGTCTTACCTGAATTGGGTGCTGATGAGAGGATGAGGTGAGTTTTACCTGAATTGGGTGCTGATGAGAGGATGAGGTGAGTTTTACCTGAATTGGGTGCTGATGAGAGGATGAGGTGAGTTTTACCTGAATTGGGTGCTGATGAGAGGATGAGGTGAGTTTTACCTGAATTGGGTGCTGATGAGAGGATGAGGTGAGTTTTACCTGAATTGGGTGCTGATGCTAGACCAGGTGACCACGATGAGGTGAGTTTTACCTGAATTGGGTGCTGATGAGAGGATCTTTGATGACGTCCACTGCCAGACCCCCCACCCCCACTGGCAGCTTGGATATCCCCTCCCAGGTGCCAGGGCTAATGGACTTCAACATCTCTGTAGCCTGGAGATGGTTCAAAGCTGGGGGGTCGTGTGCACCTGATGGCTGCTGCTCTGGGGTGCTGGGCCAGATAAACTTTGTTTAACAGACAGCCAGACATACAAGTTTGTGATCCTGTCACATTTTGTCAGCCACACTTACATTTTGTCAGTCACACTTACATTTTGTCAGCCACACTTACATTTTGTCAGCCACCCTTACATTTTGTCAGCCACACTTACATTTTGTCACCCACATTTACATTTTGTCAGTCAGACTTACATTTTGTCAGCCACACTTACATTTTGTCAGCCACCCTTACATTTTGTCAGTCACACTTACATTTTGTCAATCACACTTACATTTTGTCAATCACACTTACATTTTGTCATTCACACTTACATTTTGTCAGTCACACTTACATTTTGTCAGCCACCCTTACATTTTGTCAGTCACACTTACATTTCGTCACTGTGAAATATTTGTGCCTGTAGGTATTCGTCCAGCGTCTGAGTAGCTCTAGGCAAACCATTGATGCCAACCCCCTCAGTAGGTTTGGTCCCTGTGACAACCTGGTGCTCGCCATCCCTGTCAACCAGGGGCTGTAGTTTCAAAGGTGGGCTGCTAGACAAATCAACATATATCTAAGTTTCATCAGCTAAACCTGAGTAATGCACACACAAGCATCCATCAGCTAAACCTGAGTAATGCACACACAAGCATCCATCAGCTAAACCTGAGTAATGCACACACAAGCATCCATCAGCTAAACCTGAGTAATGCACACACAAGCATCCATCAGCTACACCTGAGTAATGCACACACAAGCATCCATCAGCTAAACCTGAGTAATGCACACACAAGCATCCATCAGCTAAACCTGAGTAATGCACACACAAGCATCCATCAGCTAAACCTGAGTAATGCACACACAAGCATCCATCAGCTAAACCTGAGTAATGCACACACAAGCATCCATCAGCTAAACCTGAGTAATGCACACACAAGCATCCATCAGCTAAACCTGAGTAATGCACACACAAGCATCCATCAGCTAAACCTGAGTAATGCACACACAAGCATCCATCAGCTAAACCTGAGTAATGCACACACAAGCATCCATCAGCTAAACCTGAGTAATGCACACACAAGCATCCATCAGCTAAACCTGAGTAATGCACACACAAGCATCCATCAGCTAAACCTGAGTAATGCACACACAAGCATCCATCAGCTAAACCTGAGTAATGCACACACAAGCATCCATCAGCTAAACCTGAGTAATGCACACACAAGCATCCATCAGCTAAACCTGAGTAATGCACACACAAGCATCCATCAAGTGACTAAAGACTGACACCCTGAGGTACCTGCTGTCTGTCTGTTCTACTCCATCTGTCTGTGGCCCTCCAGTGTTTTCACTGCCCTCAGTCTGAAAGAAAACAATGAGAAGCTGTCAGACATCTCAGACACAGACCTGCTGTACTGAATGGGTGTGTCAGCCATCTCAGACACAGACCTGCTGTACTGACTGGGTGTGTCAACCATCTCAGACACAGACCTGCGGTACTGACTGGGTGTGTCAGACACAGACCTGCTGTACTGACTGGGTGTGTCAACCATCTCAGACACAGACCTGCGGTACTGACTGGGTGTGTCAGCCATCTCAGACACAGACCTGCGGTACTGACTGGGTGTGTCAGCCATCTCAGACACAGACCTGCTGTACTGACTGGGTGTGTCAGCCATCTCAGACACAGACCTGCTGTACTGACTGGGTGGGATAACAGTGAGATGGCACTGTGTAGGCTACACCACTAACTCTTATGTATCTGCTCAGCTCAATAGAAGGGGGTACACAATACACAAATATTTGGTGTGATTTTACATCAGATATAGACATAATACATCCAGAACAGACCTTTTCATCAGCCACACACTTGACACCAGCCCCCCACACACTTGACACCAGTCCCACACACTTGACACCAGCCCCACACACAGTTGACACTAGCCCCACACACTAGACACAAGCCCCACACACTTGATACAAGCCCCCCACACACTTGACACCAGTCCCACACACTTGACACCAGCCCTCACACTTGACACAAGCCCCACACACTTGACACAAGCCCCACACACTTGATACAAGCCCCCCACACACTTGACACCAGTCCCACACACTTGACACCAGCCCCACACACTTGACACAAGCCCCACACACTTGATACAAGCCCCCCTCACACTTGACACCAGCCTCACACACTTGACACCAGCCCTCACAGTTGACACAAGCCCCACACACTAGACACAAGCCCCACACACTTGATACAAGCCCCCCACACACTTGACACCAGTCCCACACACTTGACACCAGCCCCACACACTTGACACAAGCCCCACACACTTGACACCAGCCCCCCACACACTTGACACCAGTCCCACACACTTGACACCAGCCCCACACACAGTTGACACTAGCCCCACACACTAGACACAAGCCCCACACACTTGATACAAGCCCCCCACACACTTGACACCAGTCCCACACACTTGACACCAGTCCCACACACTTGACACCAGCCCCCCACACACTTGACACAAGCCCCACACACTTGACACCAGCCCCACACACAGTTGACACTAGCCCCACACACTTGACACCAGCCCCACACACAGTTGACACAAGCCCCACACACAGTTGACACTAGCCCCACACACCTGACACCAGCCCCACACACTTGACACCAGCCCCCCACACACTTGACACCAGTCCCACACACTTGACACCAGTCCCACACACTTGACACAAGCCCCACACACTTGACACAAGCCCCACACACTTGACACCAGCCCCCCACACACTTGACACCAGTCCCACACACTTGACACCAGCCCCACACACTTGACACAAGCCCCACACACTTGACACAAGCCCCACACACTTGACACCAGCCCCACACACTTGACACCAGCCCCACACACAGTTGACACTAGCCCCACACACCTGACACAAGCCCCACACACTTGACACCAGCCCCCCACACACTTGACACCAGTCCCACACACTTGACACAAGCCCCACACACTTGACACAAGCCCCACACACTTGACACCAGCCCCCCACACACTTGACACCAGTCCCACACACTTGACACCAGCCCCACACACTTGACACAAGCCCCACACACTTGACACAAGCCCCACAGACTTGACACCAGCCCCCCACACAGTTGACACTAGCCCCACACACTTGACACCAGTCACACCCCACACCCTTAACACCAGCTCCACACACTTGACACCAGTCCCACACACTTGACACCAGCCCCCCACACACTTGACACCAGCCCCCACACAGTTGACACTAGCCCCACACACTTGACACCAGCCCCACACACTTGACATCAGCCCCACACACTTGACATCAGCCCCACACCCACACACATTTCACACCAGCCCCACACACTTGACACCAGTCTCTCACACTTGATACCAGCCCCATCTCTATTGTATCCAGCACACACTATCACTGCCTATATTTAAGCCCTCCCAATCACTGCCTGTATTGTAGCCCACACTATCACTGCCTATATTTAAGCCCTCCCAATCACTGCCTGTATTGAAGCCCACACTATCACTGCCTGTATTGTAGCCCACACTATTACTGCCTATATTTAAGCCCTCCCAATCACTGCCTGTATTGAAGCCCTCACAATCACAGCCTGTATTGAAGCCCTCACAATCAAAGCCTGTATTGAAGCCCACACAATCATTGCCTGTATTGAAGCCCACACAATCACTGCCTGTATTGAAGCCAACCACCCTCTCAACCAAATTCCTAGGTATTTCACTGCCATGATCTAAATGTAATACAATACAACCAACATTCGACACCAGACCATCCCTGCAATAGAACACAGCAGTAGTAACTAGAAAACAGAATGTTACAGACTCCAGCCTTGACCTTCAACTGCCCCCCCCCCTCAAGGTATTTCACCTGTGGTACGGTTCAGTGAAGCTGGTCTCAAGACATTATTGTTAGCTGCTATACTCTGTCTGGCATTTGTCGCTATTGAAAAGTTATAGACAGGCTGACATAGACAGGTTATAGACTGGGCTACTAATGTACTTAACCTTCATGCTACCGACAAACATCTGCAGCCACTGCCCTTACCATGTGTGACCGCTGGTCAAAATGAATAAAAGCGAGTGGTGACGTCTGTAAGGCCTGTCTAAACTATGCTAATTGATTCAATCATTGGGCTTGGACGTCACCAACAGACCTCGTGGTACACTGACGTCACCAACAAACCTCGTGGTACACTGACGTCACCAACAGACCTCGTGGTACACTGACGTCACCAATAGACAAGAGCTCGTTGTACCGTATATAGAGAAAGTGACCTGGTTTTCTCATCTCTACAGCAACCCCCCCCCCCCCCGTCTTGTGGTTCATTAGGTAATCAGGTGTGAGGGCTAGTTCGACTGAACATACAGAGTCTAGACAAGAAAGTGTAAGGAATAAAACGACACCACTGACTACAGAAGCTAACACGAACTCCATAGACAACCAACTATGTAACTGTGACAATGGCAACGTGTTTTATTGAATGATTGGATCCAATGCTACACCTAACATCTGGCAGACACGTTGTGTGGGTTACAACAATTCATTTATCAGATGGCTCGCTCATCACTAGATTAAACACGCATAGATAAAAGCTGAATGTATCCTGCTGGTGGCTGGGGACTGGCCTGTTGATATGTGGTGGGGTCAGTTTGGGGACACGTAGGGCTGTCAGTTGGGGACACGTAGGGCTGTCAGTTGGGGACACGTAGGGCTGTCAGTTGGGGACACGTAGGGCTGTCAGTTGGGGACACGTAGGGCTGTCAGTTGGGGACACGTGGGGCTGTCAGTTGGGGACACGTAGGGCTGTCAGTTGGGGACACGTAGGGCTGTCAGTTGGGGACACGTAGGGCTGTCAGTTGGGGACACGTAGGGCTGTCAGTTGGGTCAGTTGGGGACACGTAGGGCTGTCAGTTGGGTCAGTTGGTGACACGTAGGTCTGTCAGTTGGGGACACGTAGGGCTGTCAGTTGGGTCAGTTGGGGACACGTAGGTCTGTCAGTTGGGGACACGTAGGTCTGTCAGTTGGGGACACGTAGGGCTGTCAGTTGGGGACACGTAGGGCTGTCAGTTGGGGACACGTAGGGCTGTCAGTTGGGGACACGTAGGGCTGTCAGTTGGGGACACGTAGGGCTGTCAGTTGGGGACACGTAGGGCTGTCAGTTGGGGACACGTAGGGCTGTCAGTTGGGGACACGTAGGGCTGTCAGTTGGGGACACGTAGGGCTGTCAGTTGGGGACACGTAGGGCTGTCAGTTGGGGACACGTGGGGCTGTCAGTTGGGGACACGTAGGGCTGTCAGTTGGGGACACGTAGGGCTGTCAGTTGGGGACACGTAGGGCTGTCAGTTGGGGACACGTAGGGCTGTCAGTTGGGTCAGTTGGGGACACGTAGGGCTGTCAGTTGGGTCAGTTGGTGACACGTAGGTCTGTCAGTTGGGGACACGTAGGGCTGTCAGTTGGGTCAGTTGGGGACACGTAGGTCTGTCAGTTGGGGACACGTAGGGCTGTCAGTTGGGGACACGTAGGGCTGTCAGTTGGGGACACGTAGGGCTGTCAGTTGGGGACACGTAGGGCTGTCAGTTGGGGACACGTAGGGCTGTCAGTTGGGGACACGTAGGGCTGTCAGTTGGGGACACGTAGGGCTGTCAGTTGGGTCAGTTGGGGACACGTAGGTCTGTCAGTTGGGGACACGTAGGGCTGTCAGTTGGGGACACGTAGGGCTGTCAGTTGGGGACACGTAGGGCTGTCAGTTGGGTCAGTTGGGGACACGTAGGTCTGTCAGTTGGGGACACGTAGGGCTGTCAGTTGGGGACACGTAGGGCTGTCAGTTGGGTCAGTTGGGGACACGTAGGGCTGTCAGTTGGGTCAGTTGGGGACACGTAGGGCTGTCAGTTGGGGACACGTAGGGCTGTCAGTTGGGGACACGCAGGGCTGTCAGTTGGGGACACGTAGGGCTGTCAGTTGGGGACACGTAGGGCTGTCAGTTGGGGACACGTAGGGCTGTCAGTTGGGTCAGTTTAGTCTCGTAAAACAAACAAAAACGTTACCTTCCACTGCAGGGGCCCATACCACTCGCCAACATACATGTGTGCAGAACGTTACCTTCCACTGCCCATACCACTCGCCCAACATACATGTGTGCAGAACGTTACCTTCCACTGCCCATACCACTCGCCCAACATACATGTGTGCAGAACGTTACCTTCCACTGCCCATACCACTCGCCCAACATACATGTGTGCAGAACGTTACCTTCCACTGCCCATACCACTCGCCCAACATACATGTGTGCAGAACGT